CACAGCCCCTTTCAAAGAACTCCCCATGATTTTTCTCATGATTGGGTTCTTTCTCATTACTTTCGGAGTATTTGTCCCAATAGATTATATTGTTGTGGAAGCCAACGCATTTGGCATGGGAACAAATATCAGGCAATACATAGTACCGATCCTCAACGCAGCAAGGTGAGTCTCAACTGATAACATACAACATCAAAATACTAATGGCACTGGCTATAGCTTCTTTGGGCGAACCTCTTGCGGTCTCGTCGCCGATAAAGTTGGCCATTTCAACGTCTTCACGACTGTCTGCGCGACAACGAGTATCCTTATTTTGGGTCTATGGATCCCTGCGAGTAGCAACGCAGCCATAATATCATTCGCTGCGTTTTTCGGCTTCTTCTCTGGCGCCTACGTCTCTCTGTTGCCTGCATTAGTTGCCGAGGTGTCGCCTCGTGAAGAATTTGGATACCGCACTGGTCTTCTCTTTGGATGCGCGTCAATCGGAGGTCTTGTTACGAACCCCATCGCCGGGGCGATCATTCAGCTCGAGCATGGCTCATTTGGTGGTCTCAAAATATTCGCAGGCACAATGTACTTGGTCGGAACTATGGCTGCGTTTGGAGCAAGATTGATTAAAACGAATTTCAAGCTCGGAGTCAAGTTCTAATGTTACGAAAGGTAGCAAACGCGAGCATCATCTCGCGACCTCAGAAACTAAAGTGAGGACGGGGCAATTTGCCCAAGGCCTAGCAGCATTATTGAGCATATAAAAGATCACTCATATCACGCTCCTAGGCTTATGGTGTCGTGGTGTGGGATATTTCATGATGCATTCGACTCTTCGCGTTGTCGCTCCAGAAAACTAGGCCAGGCAGTAATTGAGTAAAAACATAAGGAAACGGGCTCTTTTTCGGGCCCCTGATCCAAGATACGACAGGCTGATATGGACGCAGAGTGGATAGAAGTAGAACTTGAAGATTTTTAATCAACTTCGCCTGTCAATAAAAGACATTTGGATATATCTTTATCTGGATTCGTGCAAAACATCTCTTGGCTCGAAGGGGGAATTCGTTTCAAACCTATAGAAACTAGGTCATGCCCGCGAATGAATCTGGCCTTGATAAGCTAAGCATAAGAAAACTATGACCAGCGCTATTGTGCTTGTTGGTTCTCCTTTTCTTCAGCCTTGCGTTTCGCTGCATTTCGTTCCTCGTCAACTTTGCCAACGTGTATATCGTCACAGATGAAGGACAACAGGAAAGCCATCGAAGCAGTGACGATGAAGCCCACGAAGAAATGCCGGAAAGTCTTCTTGTGCGCCAAAATGATGGCTTCCCTTTCTGGGGAGCCCCATTCGTAGCTTTGTGCCACAGTGAGCGAGCCCATTATTGTTCGTGCCTGATCTTTGATCTCTGAGGGAAGGTATTGCTCAAGGTTTTTGACGAGGATAGCTACCTGTTGTTAACAAATGCTTTGCTTCCGCACTTGAAGTCATGTACTTACTGGTCCACATCCCGCCAGCTACTGCTCCAGCAACTGACGTAGAGAAATTCGCAAGTATAATGTACGCAGCGGATAACACCGGAACATCTGACGGATTAATTAGCAAGACTATCATGAAGCGTCTTTCCTCCCCACATCTAGAGTCTGTACTCACCTTGGGGCAGTGCTGAGGCTTGAGCAAGGACAAGAACGCTCATGAAACCTCCAAAGCCAAATCCTGAAACAATTTGAGCTGCCACTAGACCAGCCAGCTGAGAATGCGGATCGGGAAAGGCGAGCTGCAAGCCGCCACCAAGAACCAGCAGGCCCATGGTCGCAACAAACAACCACTTTGGGCGCTGCATCCACGAAACAAGAGCGCCGTAACAGAGTTGTGCGAAGGCATTGGTCAATGTCAATGCCAGCGTGATGTATGTGGCGCTAGAGATGCTGAGCTGGCTCGTCACCATTATGTAGACGTAAAAGTACGGTAGTAGGAAGCTCAAAGAAAATCCACCACAGAGACTCGCTAGGTTTATGTTTGTAAGCTTCAGAAACTCGGCGTATGGTGAAGTGTCCAGAGCTTACCGAGCAATGGGCCCAGCACATTCTTGTTGCGAATAAGCCTTTTTGGGAAGAGTGGGTTGAGAGCAAACTTGGCCTCCCAAATACCAAAAGCGACGAGGACGCAGAAGCCTATCACGGTGGGAGCGACACAATGGGCCGAAGCATACCTTTCCACACCGCCATGCTCCAGAGGGATGGGGAGGAAAAGTAGGGCACATCCGGCAGCGAGAAAAGCACAACCTATTAGGTCCTGTTCTAGCAATTTAGCCCATATTCCTAGAACTCTTTGCTTCCGAGATGCGGGCATCTCTAGCGTTCCTTTCTGGTGAACCTTTCTCCTTGCAAGGAAAAGCGCAACCAAAAGTGGGATCGAAGCGACAGGAATCTTTATGTGGAAGGATATCGTTAGCCAATTGTCGAGGAATTACTTTGTTTTGCCTGAGCAGGGCATAGTTACCATGATACACCAGAGTGCGATACCCCATCTCCAACTTAACCTTTGGAGCACTGATTCAGCCATCTTCGCACCGCCCTTTTAAAACAATTTAGTTTTGGTTCTTAATTTCCGATACGGTGTTTTGCCCTGGGGGTCAGAGTCGCTTACCAGTTGGGATATCATGGCGGGTAAGTTCGCTGCGCCCAAGGACAATGCGCGGTGTCTCATGTTGCTCAATTCTATTAACCAAGATCAGCCTCCAATGCAAGGCAGAGAATGTGAAAATCAGAAATATGTTGATCATGGAAGACTCACCAGCAGTCAAGACATATATCATAAATTTAGACGCTACCAACCGTAAGTTATTGATGAACGAGGTACACTTTACTTTGCAAGGTGTCTTACTCATCAGTCCTACAGCGTAAATACTGAAACCCGCAATAAGAGCGCCTATGCCTGGTGCAGAAGCCTCTAGGATGAATGCAAGGGTGATGAGGCATACAGAGGCGGCAACGATGGTGAAGGAGCTGAGAAACTAATGTCAGGCTTTGATCATTGGAGCGGGGAAGTGACCTAGCTATGCGTACTGAATTTCACCTGCTAGAGTAGCAAGAACACCCTGGATTCCTTATTTTGTTATTAGCAGGTAAGCATTTGTGACAGTATCAGGCATCAACTCACCCAACGCAATGACGCCGAATATAGCAGACAAGGCGCCTTCTACCGACAGCCGTTCGAATTCGCTAAGCGCATAGACGAAGTATGTACTGACAGTAACACTGTCGAGATAGTTTGTAAAGGACACGAGAAGAAGTCCAATCCAGGCGAGAACCAATTGCCATTTGTTGAGCACATCGAGAAGTGTTATGCCAGCTACGAGGTCGTGCTCGTTGTCTTCCTCCTTTTCACATGTCGCTGCGACTGTAGATTCTACAGCCGGCTTTGTCTCCGAGGCCATAGTGAGAATGAAGATGATGGTGGATGAGTAGAGGATAATTTTGGCAGTCTCTATAGATCTCGATGGTTGCTTGAAGAGCATGTAGCGGCGCTGACCAGTGAGCTTTATACTGACGGCCGCTACTACCATTCCTTTGAGATAGACGATAGATAAGGGAAGTAACTTACAAGGTTTAGGCTCTCCTTCCCTTGTCGTGCAGAAATCAATATTGAAACCCGTTATCAGGACCAAGACATCGTTTTTTGTCCCCGCATCAAGGCGCATGACTTGGACAGTACCGGTCTGCCGCTCTCTTCCATATCATTTGCCAAAATACCTGGGGAACCCTGCCAGCTATCAGTGCCAAGAAACGAGTTGTCACCACCCATGTCGCGACTCTGCTGGTCTTGATAGGCGTTGTCGCACACCTGTTTAGGCATGGCGGCTTTTGTTCACTACTGAGTGCTCCTATCATGTTACACTCACAATGATGAGAGGTTCATGAGGGAGGTGGGGATTGCACCTGGATACCTATTCCCGACCCCCGTCTGTCATTGGGAATAAGGCCAAGTCCAAGTTCATTGATAAGCTCGATGGATTAGTGTGATTGGTCCGCAGTATATGTACTGACAGCCGTGAACATGGGTATGATACAGTTCGTTAGTTTGTCTAAATGATAAGAAGCCAAGTATACATACAGTTCAGATCGGCAGAGGCATTAATCCCTTGGAACAACAGAGCTCGTGGTTGCCATTCAACTCAACTCTAGAATGAATTGTGAAATTTCATTTAGGAATTGTTATAGTCTAATGGTAGTAGCGGGAGCGTTACGATTTGCCGTCATTTGCAATGATCAATATTTCTCCTATTTGTGCCACAGATTATTTTTCATTGCATGGATGATGGCGGCTCTTCCAATGAAGGGCTTAGTTGATATATGTTTTGTCTGTGCTTGTGAATGATTTGATTTGATTAATCTCATACTTCACATCGTAACATGTTAAATATGCCTTGGAATACTGATGAAGAAGTTGGTAAATGTCAGGATTCAACGCATCTATGAAGTTAGTCTATTACTTCGGGATTGGTAAGTTCTGGACGGCTGTGTCTTTATCGGCTGGAAAGACAGTTGAGAATTCTACTCAAAGCATCCGAGTTTACTGCTCCGGGTCATGCTCATCTCTATTCTTTCAACTTGGTTTCCATATCAAACAGCCTGTAACACCTTTAAAGTGTGAGAGAGGTCCCATAACAGCCGGACGCACCGAGGACAATCAGGCAACAGGTCAAAACCCATCGACGGGGCGTGACACAACGCGTGCGTGGCGCGTGTTTTCGCGCGCCAGTTTGCACATCATAACAAGACCTTCACGCTCCCTCTGCCTCTTTCCCTCCTTTTCTCCAGTTTACCTCATTTTTGAAACGTAGAGACGGCAACAATAGCCACAAGTTCCCCTTCGTTCTTGGCCTGTTGTCGTGCACACTTTCCCCACAACTGGTCTGCCCATTCAATGAAAACCCAACTCACGAATAATTTTCAAGATGTCTGGGTCCTCGAAACCTTGTGCCATAATCACCAGTTCATAGAATGGACAGATGATTGGAGGCAAGTCTCTCGGTGTTCCAACTGAGATCGATTCAGAACTGTTCTTCTGCACACCAGAAGACGCCTCGGCTCACATTGGGTTTGAGCTTATGTTCCCCTTCGATCCAAGCAATGAGGACCGTGGATTTGGAGTCTGCCACGAACGTAAGCTGCCGGCCTCGCTTCATAGTCTGGGAGTATTTCTGAGGTCCAAACTAACGTGACGTTTTAGTTGATACCAGCACTGGAAGGTCGGCGCCCGCGACCTCACTGAAGCTGAAGGTGAAAATGCCCAGAGGACATTATCGGATCACTTTCAAGGATATAAATTCTATGCCTAGCCTCAAAAACCGCTTTCCTCAGCAGAAACCCATAACGGCTGTCGTGATAACTCTTCATGAGGGACATAGTGTCACTGTTGACGGCTATGGAAACCCCTTTTCCAATCCTGAACATCCATGCGACGGATGGCTTAACCAAGATTTGCCTATCGAACAAGGAATCGTTCTCGCTGAGATTTTTAAATTGCACCAGTTTCACGTTGTCATTCTCTCCGAAATCGTTGACGCAAAGAAGTGTTTCGGTAGGCAACTCCCAAAGGCATTTTCGTATCCGTACGGCAACAACCATTCATGGCAACCAAACACCTACAAGGACATCTCGTATGGCATCCAAAGAAGTCTTCCATTCGCAAGAGCGCTCAACTTTGGAGACGATGATAGCCGACTTGCTGTTCTCACTCAGTCTGTCGTCCAGGACACCTTGTGGCTGGCCCTTGCCGCAGCCAAAATCTTCGCAACCAAGTTCTCGGCCTATTTCGTACCGTTGAAGAAGCGAAGTGAGACCGACACCACTTATGACACTTATTATGCTGTGATACAGCTTACAGGAGAATTCCGACACCAGTACAAGAAAGAATGGGATCAACTGACAAATTGTGAATCTTTCAAATTGGCTTTCCTCAGGCCAACCGACACATTTGGCCCCCCACGGCTTTCAAGAGAAGGGTCGTGGTATAAATTGGCCAAAGAATGCTGGGATGCCAGACTTGTGCAGAATGCCAAAGGCCAGGCAGCCTTGGTGCCACATCTTCAGCAGTGGGTGCCCGTCTTACTATTGGAGATACGCCGAGGCAAGTCAGTTATGCAGTTGCCTACTTTCCCCGATTGGAACACGGCCATCAACTTCAAGGGCAAGGATCCTCAGAGCTGGTCTACAGTCTCACTCTTGTTTGATCCGCAGTTGAAAGAGTGTGAGCGAAAGGTCAATGCTGTTTGCCAATTTGCTCAGGACGCTAAACCAAGCCATGACCTCGCTGCGAATGAGACTTCGGCTATCAGCCTGGAAAGGCGGATGGAGCTTCATAGGGCTCTTCAGCGTGGACGGGGATTCCATCCGTCCTCAGGAAGCCGCCAAAGCGCAAGCAGTACGTATTCATACCCAAGCTTATACCCTAGATCTTCTTTAACAGCTGTGCACTTTTAGCCGATGATGTGATTGCGTCCATGGGCCAACTTGAAATCGATGAGAATCACGCCACAGGGCCACTCATTCCCGTGGTGAATCTTCTGAATGGAGTTAAACCGAAGTACTTGGAAGCTCTGTTACAGAAGTTTCTCGAAAATGATCGAGGACGCATCAGGGAGTATTTGAGAAACCGTCCATTGGGGTTCGGAGTAATCACTGCGGTATGTTTGCACTCTGGAATCTTTATTCAATCATTTTGATACTCACTATCCGAAGGGCCCAGGATTTGGGAAAACCACCGGGCTGGCGGTCGCCACGCTTCTGATGAGAGCCTCTCAGGGCAGAATATTTGGAAGCGCGCCGTCCAACGTTGCCATAGACAACTTCGCTGAGCGCCTTTCGAGGATCGACGACGAGGGAATCAAGCAGGCCAACAAAGGCAGAGCTTCATCTGCCACCCAAAGAATACGCCGCATCCTGATTATACGAGGCTATGCCATTCCCGACGAGATCGCTGCGTTCCGAATGTTAGTGGAGAGTCCCAAGAAGGGTGACAATGCCGCACCAAAGAGGGAGTGGAGGCCCAAGTCAAGGTGGAAGCTTGATTTATCCGCAGCGTACTGGCTATTGATGGTTTTGAGATCTTCTGCCGTACGCCAACTTGATAGTGACGACAGCTTGGTCTTGCACGATATGCAGAAAGTCTACGATGGCCAAAAGAGTCTTGGCCCCCTCCGGGATATCATAGAGGGCAAGAGACGTTGGAACGATCTTGGTGATGAAAAATTTGGGCCCGAGGCGATTGGGGAGATGCCACAGCACCTCATCGAAAAGGCAGACATTCTCCTGACCACTCCAGCCAAATCCCAATACTCTAGCTACCTCGCGTGGAAAAAGACGGCTCATGGAGTAGCGATCGACGAGGCCGCAAACATGACAAGGCCTGATCTCGATTGTGTATGGGGAAACGTCTTGCTTCGGTGCTTTCTAGCTGGTGACGAGCATCAGCTTCGACCTACGGTAAAGACGGAGCAGGAAAGGGACAGAAGTGGAAAATACTTTAATCGACACCATGCCGATGGAATCGTTTCGCCCCTTGAGTTTTTCAAGATGAATGGATGGCCTGTCCTCCGCCTACGTGTACAGTTCCGGATGGGGTCAGTTTGATATCTGCCACCGCGAGCTATATTCCGACCTTCCCTTTGAATATGCCCCGCGCTGTCGCATTATCACGCCTGCCCATCGAGTTGGGGGCCAGCTAGAGGACTACACCACTCGTAGGTTCCCGGAGCTGAGACCACCTTCTCAAGGCACGCTATCGCCCATTTTCATCCACTGCCGTGGCTCGGGGCGCGAGAGACCCAAGGGGAGATACGCCATGTCAAGTCAGAATACCGATCAGAATACAGCCGCCCTCCAATTCCTAGTTGGTTTCGTGAAAGCGAGCCAAACCAACCCTGCGCGCATCTGCCTTATTACTCCCTACAAAGCGAATGTCCATGCGATTGAGAAAATGCGAAAGAGCAGCGACTATGAAGTCCTCACCGGTTTGCCACCAGCCGCGACCGTAGACTCGTTTCAAGGCCGGGAAGGGGATGTCGTCTTGGCTATCATGGTCTCTACGGAGAAGTCTGGGCCAGGGTTTATGAGGTGCGAGAACCGGTTGAATGTTCTGTTATCCCGTCATCGAAGCGCACTCGTGATTGTCGGCGATATCAATGCTGCCGGAGCTCTAGTTGATGACAGCAACGGAAGGATGAAGGTAGAGCAAAGCCCACCAAGCAACAACGGAATGTTGAGCAATGTGTGTTCAGGACTCGTAAAGGAGGGTCGAGTTGTAGTTGTTGAATGTAACAAGTAGAGAGAGTTAGATTAAAAATTAATGAAGCAAGCTCGGAAATACAGAAAGTTAACACATGGCTATGCTACTTAGAAATGACAACGACCAGTTTCCCAATTCCGCCCTTGATCGCATATACTTCCTCACAATTCTTTCGTATCGCCTCAATATCCTCTAGTTGTACAACCCTCATGACCGCCTTCACCTTACCCAAGGCCACAATCTCGCCGGACATCTCCAGATCCTCGCGATTGTCAGGGCTTCCTGAAACCATTTCGTGGTAGATGTTTGTTCCCCAAAATTTCCACGTGTAGTAGTATTGAGCCAAGTCGAGTATGACTCCAAACCACCAAGGAAAGCGGTCTGCGCCCATAATCTCCTTCGCCACACTCTTGGTAGGAATGCTGGTGATGGACATCAACGTGCCGGTCTTCTTGTCCAGCGCTGCGATGCAGTCGTCCATCGAAGACATCTGAGTGTTGACAGCGAAGTCTACAGTGCCCTGGGGCACAAGATCTCCGACCTTTTGCGTCTTGTAGTCGATAACCTGATCGACCATGCCAGGGAGATATTCCTCCACCAGGGGTACTTTGGCTGTTGATACGGTAGAGATGATCTTGGCGGCGCCAAAGAAGTTCTTTGCTACCTGAATAATAATCGATCCCGTACCGCTCAAAGCGCCCGGCACGAACACCGTCTTGCCCTCGAGGCTCTCTTCCCCGCGGACTTGCAGCCCGCGCTTGATTACCTGGTAGGCCGCAACTACCATGGGGGTGAATGAAGCAGCCTCCTCGAATGAAACACTTGGCGGTTTCCGAATAAGAAGATTCTCAGGGCAGACGGTGTACTCAGAGACAAACCCTGGTGGCGGTATGCGGAACATGGGCTTAGATATGTTAGTACCATAGACCTCGTCGCCGACTTTGAGGTGCTTGACGCCGTCGCCAACCGCAGCAACGACACCGGCACCGGAGTTTCCGATTTTCAAGGGAAACCTGTCATCCTTGTTAGCGAACCTTTCATCCCTCGACAGTCTTGGACTGGCTTCAAACGAACGTAGCCTTGTAGAAAATCTCGAGTTTGCCTCCCGCAATCTGCACGTCTCCCGTGCCCAGACTTGCCGCACGGACATGAATTAGGACATCGGTTGGCTCCTTGATCGATGGCGTTGGCATCGAGGCGATCTCGAAGGTGCTCGGCGGCCCCTTTTTGGGGGCCACGAGGGACCGCATTGTCTTGGGAACACTGGCCATTCTCAAATTTAGTTGATTGCTATTTAGTGCCTAAACAAGTTTCACTGACTCCGCCGCGTGCAGTTTCTTTTGTATTTATGGTTCGTGTTAGCGGACTTTGGTCTTGCGGGAAGCGGAGCTCATCAGATCAGTGGAGGGGCGAACGCGGAGATGGATTGATTGGCCTGCTCGCTTGTATTAAGATCAGGCGACATCAGCCGCAAAATTTACGAGGTGAACGTCTTGGGTCCATTGCTACCTTGGCCCCTTGATACTAGGTATTCCGCCGGACAGCGCTTTTCCTCTTGGAACATCCGCAGTCTTCCTAGTTTTTAGACGGGAAACTGATACTCTGATGAATTGGCTAGAGGCTGACATTTGCTCTAGAAACGAATGTCAAAGCTGCCAAACTCTCATCTGCTTTTTGGATCGAAGGATGAAGACAACGAACATTGAACGGACTAATGAATGCCAATGCTTTGAGAATCATCCTCGCCTCGTATGCTACCAGATCTAAATTCATGATAACGAACAGATAGACGAATGCTTCATGGACCAAATAATTTTACGAGCTAGACAATAGGCATCTAGGCGACACTTTTCGTGCCCTGGGGGTGATTTTCCCCTGCGAGATTGATTTTCTGTTTGATATTCCCTCTTATTCGGGTGAACAAGGAAAGGGTCCATCTAAAAGTGAATAAGAGTCCTACCAAGAAGTGCGAGACTTTAGCCATTGATTAGGATTTGAATAGTAAATCAAACGGAATGCTTCGTCTGTAGCTTACGGATCGGAGGCTTGTTAGAGGACGCAATGGATGGAGTGATCGATTACGCATCAGTGGAGGAGGATGTTAGCTGATGATCATTTCTTCAGATCAGTGACGAAATTGCCGATGGCGAATTGCCGGTGGTAAATTGCCGGTGGTAAATTGCCGATGGTAAATTTCCGATGGTGTCCTGGTCTACAACGTTCGATTGGGATGCTTCCCAATGAAACAGGGGGTTCAAGCGCATAGTACAAGACGAGACAAATTGGTTCGTTTTATATCACGATATCCCCATTGTGCTCGTCCTGCATCAAATTGGCGAAAGATTTGCAGTACTCTCCGTACCAAGATTGGCCAGTTATGATTTCTGATTGAATACTGAGAAGATTGATCAACTAAATAAAGGGAGCTTATTGGCTAATGCCAACCGCTCTCAATCGCAGAACAGATGCGAGACGTTTCTGATACAGGGGCCCTCCGAATGTGGTAGTTGACCCATCCCAATGCATCACGCTGCCCGTTAATGCGCCGCCACTTTTGAAACAATATTCGCAAGTGTTGAGAATTGTCAGTTTGACCTATTTGACATTCGAGTGAGTTGAAGCTCTATAAGTATGCTCAAAGGAACGCATGGAAGCAGATTCCTATTCATCAACACCACCTAAACCTCCAAACTTTTGCTTCCATCTCTTTACGCGGGTGATAACAGGCTAAATTTCATCATACATACTTACAAACTGAAGATCTGTCCATGAAAAAGGATCACAGAGAGTCACTATATCACTATACCTACTACGACTCAAAGTCAAACATCAATCAATACGCCCAGCCTCTTCTCTGCAGGCCTCCACGTATACTGTCAAAGCTGGTCCGCAGTATCAAGATCGTTAGTATGGCGAGGTTCGAAACATACGAATATCGCCTTTTGGGCTCTGAATCCCACGAGATCACCAGCCCATGGAAAGAGGCGTCCAACAGAATGCAAGAGATCCATGATTGGGAGGCTCAAATGAATTACAGTGATTCTGATGATACGGTTTCGGAATGGTCAGAGTCACAAGAGAATGAGGACTGTTGGGAGAATAGTGTGAATGAGGAGTTCTTTGGAATAGAGAAGGAGAACGCTCGAGAGTGCCAAAGATTGGCACGCGAGCTTCTCAGGGAGGCACAGGAGAAGTTGGAAATGATAGCAGAAGAACTAAGGGTTCATAAGAAGGGAACGAAATAATTGGAAATTTACGGGATATCGCATAAACAACTCTCTCCGTCACTTGTCTTTGCGTGATGCCTTTAGCTGCACTCTACCATCGCGCTTTCGGTAGCTCGAAATTTAAACAGGCAAGGTATGGTGTCCAGCCGCACTCCGGAAAGGGCATGGATTGATAAATCTCAGTGTGAACCAATACGTGTACAGCCTCAACGTTCGCATAGCTGACAACGCTTGCTGCCGCTTCATGCCGTATTGACACGCAGACACTTCCTCATGACACTTATGGCATCGTAGACATCGACATCCAAGGACAACATTCGGGTTGAGACTGCACTAAGGATTAAATGTTGATAGGGTATGAAGCTTTTTCAGCAATCAAAAAGGGGGTTGAACATAATCGCGGAGGGCGCCCCAGGCAAGTTTACCAACCTTGATGTTTGTTATCTAGCTAGGTTAAATGCTTTCCGTATAATTTTATTCTTGAGGGGAAAATCAGTAATGAATAATGGTCGGGCATCCTTCATTGATTTCAGAGAGGTCGTTTTCGGTCGCCTGACGTTCGTTCATACTAAGTCCGGGATTCATATATCTTTCTATACCGCCTTTGAAAACTGTATATGTTTACTTACATATTCTGAACTCCTCTCTCTCGCATACTTAATCGATTTCAGAGAAAAGATCGCCCGTTCAAAAAAGTCACGCGCCTTTGCATGTTTTGCAATAATGCATATTGCATTGATACGTCACGTCGGGCGAAGCCCCTCAGTCCTCCCTCCAATCAACGGAGCCCAGCGGTGTGACCGAAAGCACAAGATAACGCAATACGTGCACATATGCCTGGCCTCCTGCTGCATAGTGAGCCAAGTCCGAATGCTGACAGCACCACTGGCTCCACCAGAACGCCCGACTCATGTGAGAATATGCCTTGAACGGGGGCACCGCATACACCAGCGAGAATAATAAGACTGTCGCCTTTCCCCGCCTGGTTCGCCCGTTTCATTAGTGCCGTATGAAATGGACAAAGGACTAATTTCAGGCAGTTGGCGCGTCTGGCTTGATGGTCAATCTATAAGTCTATTTCCCCGCTTCCTTGCTTTATGCTTACCCGTCATCTCGACTCTCTGAGACTGCCAACAAAAATACCAAAACAACAACGTGTGCCGTTGTACCCAATCTTGACATTCTCCTTGGTAATTCCAGTTGCCACCATCCGCCATGGATCGTCTGGGCCGTCTCTTTATCACGATTGGTGGCTTCTTCACGGGCAACAAGACCAAGCGCAACAGCCCGACAACAGAAACACAAGATGTGACAAGTCGCCTATCCGAGAAAAGTGCCAAAGCTTTAGAAGTTGACAAGTTCGATCCATCGGAATGGGAGCCTGTTAATGACCTGCCACCATACCAAGAGCAAGAACAGAATGCTCTGCGCTCAGCACCCACCCCGGAACTAGCCACCACCTCCTCTATCGAGCCAACGAAATTGTGCATCAGGGAGGCAACCTCTGCGCCCGTAGCGTGGGTTCAACACCCTTCCGAGCCGAGCTTTCTCATCTGCGGTCGTTGTTATGCCGACCATATCGCCAAGACGAGTTTAAATAAGGAGTTTGTTCTGTTTCGGCCGGTCGATCATAAACGTCGATCTTGCCAGTTCAAACGACTTGACATGACATTGAGAGTATGGACTCAAGCTGTATCCGAAGATTCGATGGAGAAGTTCATCAACCATATCATCTGGGCTCGTACAGTGAGAGATTGCCCGAAGAGCTCGTCTCGCGCGCCAGGCGACATATGGTATGCTTCCGCCGATTTTCCTGAATTTACGGTGTGCGAGGAGTGTTACGAGGACCGCATAGCATCGACCGAATTTGCGACCCATTTCGAGCGACAAGTGAGACAGTCGAAAACGTATTGCAAAGCTCATTGTCGATATGTAACGCGCTTGCTCAAGATGGATTCAACTCTCCCATCAAGCTGGGATGAGTTTGTCATGAAGATAAAAGAACGGCTCGATCTCCCGGCTTGCCCTCTTCATGAGCTCAAGCCTGGTAAGCTGGCAAAGAAGGCTACATGGTACCAGTGTTTTGTTGTCTCCCAGCCATATTTCTTTTGCGGAGCATGCTACCACACCTTTTTTGTTGGCACCAAGGCTGAAAACGATTTCACACGAGTCGAGGAACTCCCTAAGGGCGGCAGATGCATGGCTACCTCGAGGTTCAGGGCTGTTATTACCGCCGCCGAAGAAAAGGATGACTACCACTTGCTTTACAACGCGCTCAACGAAGGTGCCGAGTGGCCTGAATGTGAACCAAAGGGAGTATCCAACACCATGTGGTTTACCTTGCCCGGAAACGTTCATAGGTCATATGCCATCTGCGGTCGCTGTTATCACGGAAACCTCAAGCCTCAGGGGATGGGTGACTACTTCGTCCCTAAAACCGACGTTCGCAAAGGGGAAAGCATGGTGTGCTGGCGCAACTACTATCACCCGGCCTCGGTCCGACACGGTGAGATGCTTTCCGAGGCTCTGATATTCGGCGACCCCAGCCGCCTATATGAATTTATCAACGAGCACCCGAAGCGTCAGGGTTGCCGTGGTGCCAAGACGGGACGAGGCGCGAACCAACGCTGGTGGGGATGGGACAAGATGCGGATTTGCGATGCCTGCTACCACGGCGGATCTATGACCCAGAGGAGTATTGTCAAGAAATTCCAGCTGCGGGGGGAGAGAGATCCCGTTGAGCGGAAATGCGATCTTGCCTCGCACTCCCTGAGATGGCTATTTATGGAGAGAGACGTCACTAAGCTCCTTGAATATGCCGACAGTAGAGCTAGTACTTAGATGGAGATCACTGCGAGGTGATGTACAACTCACACCGAAAGCTTCGTGTTTCCCAAAGCTGGCAGCATATGACTCCTAGATTAGCTTGTTTCTCCGGTTGTGGTTTTTTGGATCCTTATCGCTTTTTCTTTCCTTATGTTTCCGTTTGCTAGTGTTTCTTAGGGATTGACTGTCTACGGCTGATACCAAATCACTCTTTAATAGGGAGAATAAGAATGACGAGGGAAGTTGACTTATCAACGACGTGCGTGCAACATATTCGCATCTCAACTAGCAACGAATGTCATGAAATAGATTCCTACATCGCCCTTGGGGCATAAACCTTTGCTAGGTGTTTCCTCCCGATTTATTGCCAGATCCCTAATGTGTTAAAACGCCATTGCTGCTTTTCCTCTAAAGCAATTTATCCTATGCTCACGCTACTCTAACTAGATGAATTCCGTGAAAAGGGGGCAATCATTTAAAACGCTCTTGCTAAGAACACAAAAATCAACAGTGTGGACACGGTGAGGAGAATATCATATTTACTTGTTGTGAAAATTAATACATCGTAAGACAAATAATCACCGGATATTTCTCCCATGCCGCCCACTTTCCTGCCTCACTAATCCAATATCCACCTAGCTGAATATGCCGGATTCATAATGTCCTAGTAAGGATCAGGGATCACGCTAGAATTTACTTAATTGTTTTTAGTGCCTGGGAGCAGGGTTGTCCGGATCAAGAAGCTGAGAAGTGAGAACCATGTTGATTATCTCAGCGGGGTTTGGTTATTCGCGTGGCTAGTTTTCGGCCCCGTCCACCTCAAGATCGGGGGACACTGGACTAGTCAAAGATGAATTCTCAAACTCTTCGTAGGTTATATCAGCTCACCAAGACTCTAAATGGTCGAGTTATGTCTTGGCTTCCTTCCTAGTCCTATGCAGTCGGTCTTCAAGACTCGTCTTCCAAACTAGGACGAGACGATGACTTCAGAGAAACTACTTCGGAAGATGCGGAAAGTCTAGGTGGAATAAGCCACTGATTTGTGCCCTCATAATGAACCTCGCTTGTATTGACTGCCAAGGATACCAGTGTTTGAGCTTGGAAACAGTTATCCTTTTTGAGAATAATGATCCTAGCGGCCAGGCCTTTACCCCGGCATATGCTGTCAGCTTAATTACATCCTTTGCTGCCGCTTCCCAAAATAGGTCCTGAAACACACAAAGTAAGCAACAAGTGCCGGCTCAAACGTAGGTCCTTCTCTTTATCACTCCGATCACCCCTCTAGAGTCTCGTCTTTCACCTTACCCGTGGAGGAAACGTCAAGCTTCTACGGATGAGGCACGGATCGATTCCTAATCGACATCGAGAAGTCGCTTGTTGGACTGTTTCCGCTGCTGCATACGCCCAACATGAAGACCTACGCCATGCGTACGGGGCTTCGAGTTTCGGCGGTGTGTGCAATTTTTCTGTTTACTAATCTCGCAGCTTCACTTTCCCCCATCTCCGTAAAGGGCGCAAAGCTCTTCGACGGAGACGGAAAGCAGTTCTTCGTCAAAGGTTGGCCTCCCCAGCTCGCTTCCCTCCTGCCCTTCGGCTATACTGATCAAACGCTCTCGCTCCAGGAGTCATTTACACAGGAAACGGAGAACAGGATGTCTTGCTTGACGGTAAACAATGTCAGATCGACGCTGGACTAATGAAGAGCCTTGGTGTCAATACTATACGAGTTTATGGGGCCGATTCTACCAAAGACCACAAGGACTGTATGGAAGCTTTCTCAAGCCAGGATATCTACGTTTGGATGGACTTGGCAACCTCCTCTAGAAGAATCCCGGCGGTGAGTAAATGGGAGTCATACGTTCAAACAGTACACGTGAATCTAATTTTCACCAGGCAAAACTAGGATGGACAGCCGACTTGTACAACAACTTCACTTCTACCGTTGACCATTTTGCCGGATATGACAACATTCTCGCCTTTACGCTTGGTGCCGAGGTCTTAGATAATACGAGTACGTCGGATGACACAATCGAGTGATATAGTTCCAACGTCTGACATTCTCAAAGACAAAGGCAGCCTTGGTGCCATAGCCGTCAAAGCAGCTGCTAGGGATATACGAGCATTTAGAGATGCCAGAGGCTACCGCGAGATACCCATTACTTATTCTTCAGCCTCCACCGGGCCACATTTATCTCTATCGGGACAGTTCTTGGCGTGTGGTGATACCAAGAACAGAATCGAGATGTTTGGAATTGACTCTTACAGCTTATGCGGCGATTCGTTTTCCCTACCCACTCCCTTCGACCGATTATACGAGACCTTTGAGCAGTACAATATCCCTATAGTATTCACAGAGTCGGGCTGTGTCGCAAATGGGAGCAACAAACGCGATTTCAAAGAGATCCAAACGATGATGTCGCCTCTTTTCCAGAACAAGTTCTCTGGTGCCATCGTGTATGAGTGGGCTCAGCAGTCGAGCGATTTCGGGCTTGTGGAATACTCGGACAGCGCCCAGACGGGGACTCCTTCGATGCTTGACGATTACAGTGCGCTTTCGACCGTATTCTTGACCCTCAATCCTCCCGCGACACCAGTGCTATCTTATACAGCCACTGAGACTGCGCCGGCGTGTCCAACATTCAATTCAGCATCGAGTTGGGCAATCCCTGGAGATGTCATTCCCCCTACCTCTATAAGTGGAATCGATGTTGGTACGGTGACGTCTCGCACGACATATATCCCGTCATCAAGCTCAAAATCCGCTTCTCAAACGGGAACAGGCACGCGCACCAATGTAGAGGCTGGAACTGGCACTGGCGCAGTTTCCGAGGGGTCAGATCAAGGTGAACAACAAGCAGCACTGTCAGGTGGCGCTTTGATAGGTGTCATCGTTGGCTGCGTCCTAGCAGCACTTTTGATATTGGCGGTAGCTATCTTTTTCTTCATGCGGAGAAGAAAGTCAAGGGATATTCAGGAAATCACCCAACCTCGGCGTGGATCTCCAGATGCAAGCGAGGGGCTTCAGGTTGATCAAGGCGACACTCTTTACTCCACGACGGTTGTCTCATCCAAAGGGGAGGATTTCACGGAAAAGATTGAGTTGCCAGCGAATTCGATCGGACGCAGGACACCATTACAAGAGTTGGATGCAACACCGCAGAATTCAAACCTGACCAACAGCGACGCGGGCGTGCATCATATTCCGGCAATGGACCGCTCTATCCCAAGCGCCATTAAGGGGTTTGCTCCAGCAGCCAAGGCATCATCTATCTACGAAATGCCGGATACTAGTTCCAGTCTTCCGGGGCGTGGACAAGAAAGATAGCAAGTACTAATTCTCAAACATGAAATTTCTTTTTATATAAACGATGCCAATCATTGTGATCAAAGATTATGCATGTAGGTAACAAGCTTGAAGCGACAACAGGTTAGTAAACTATGACAAAAATATAGTTATCATACTTGCTGGAATACATGTTGAAGTTCTATGTATAGTTTCGTATTGCGCAGTAAATAGCGTGCAGAATTTGGATTCGAACTGACATGGTTTGAAACATAAAAGCGACCCGCCCATATGTCACGATGACCCCTTTTATGTCCATCTTAAGCACGAGTAATCGTCCGGAAACATTAGACCAGACCGATTTTTCTGTCGAGAACATGGGGTATTAATCGAATGGGCGTCAGTGCGATGCTGGGCGTTAACCCCCCTCACAGACCTACGGTCTTGTGGTAGGTGGGAAGAGTGCAGGAAGATGCGATGACTTTCACATATCCAAAAAATGGGACAACATTAGCACGGTGCGCCGAGTTTTGCTGGCATGAAGAGTACCCTGAAACATGATCCGTCGTTCTCATGCTCCAGCATTATATTCATCAAAAGATCGGTCGTTATTTTGAAGCCGTCGCCTAGTTCCTGTGGTACTTAAGTCACTCAGCACCCGGTCGAGCTGTCGTAGATCTTAGCTAGCCGTGGTGAATCTTCATTAAGTTTTCTATTCATGATTCGAGGGCCCGGAAACTGAAGTAGCTGCAGTAGGATGAGATATCTCTGTATATGTTGCAGTCTCTGTCTGCTGTGTTTTCCTGGAAAGGACGCTTGCAATACGTGATTCGCGATGTTTGCCATCTTTTCTTCGGAATATTCGCAGATATAGTCGGAGTGACGGCAGTATAGAAATTATGAGGGAGGTGTGGGCGTCGGTAATGAAAAGAGCCTCTATATTGTCTATCAGCTCCGGCCTTGCAACGTAAAAGTGACCAGTAACTTACGATCTACGGCGAAAGCGGTCGACGGCGCAAACGGTGAGTGGACGATGAACCACCTCATAATGGTAATGCCAATGGCGATAAATCCGAGGCCAAAAGTAAGACCTGCGCTGATCTTCTGCGCTCTAGACATCGGTAACCGGCTAATGCAGACTAATGGAACAGCAATAACTGTTATGTCTCTTAGCTTTTTCAATCCTCAAGTCTTTAGTATCAAGTTTCTTGCTCATCAGTTATACGTACTCATGACATCTGAAGTGAAATGAAAAGCCCAGGCTACATTGTCTTTTATCAACTGACAACGTTGGTCGCGACATTCAGCCTCTATCGACCTGTGAAGAATTAGCAACCACTTTTTGTTAAGAAGGACAAGACTAGGCATACCAGAAACAGCCTAATCTACAAATAAAAAGTAACATGAAAATCGTGGTGATGAAGCCAACAGCACAGTATCCTACGAGGAGATATAAAACTGTTCGGGTTCGCCGCGAGCGCCGTCCGAAAAGCTCGAAATATTGCGTGATGAGGGTGCCTTTAGTCAGGTACTGCTCAAGGTAGAACGTAAAGATTGAGATATAAATTGTCTTTGGATACAAAAACGATTAGCTTCGTAGTTTTCCCCTCGGATTCTTGAGTTGTCAATTTAACTTACCCTGAAAGCATTAATGATATTATCCCTTGGTGCCTGCCACTGTACCACCCCGAAATCAACATCTTCCTCAAATACCCCTATCCCACGATGCCATAAAGCCGTGTCAATAGCGGTGTTGGTAAGTGCGGTCGCCAGCGCGAAAAAGTAGAACATGTCTCTAAGAATGAATCGTTGTTGGTGATGGTTGAATCGTAGATCAAGTCGTGCGAGGCCAAGAAGAAGAGCGATGCCAATTAAGGTCCACTCAATAGCCTAAACCAGAATTAGCCGACAGTATTCAGATACAAAGGAGTCGTCTTATTACCATAAGCTCTTTCCCTGTGAGTTTAAGCATTTTCCCTCCACATTAAACCAAAGAAAATGGGTTGTGTCGACATGAGTCCATCCGTGCGGCAAAAGCCTTGCTCTCCGGTGATCACTACATGTAACGACAGAAGTTGCTTGTATTGAACTGGAGGAGCCAGTCCTTTTAGATTCCAAGGGATAAAAGCCATCGAAACGGCATGGTTCGATCCGCAGCCACCACCATCGTTGAATATCCACAACCCAACCGTCAGGAATGCTGGATCTCGATCTACGCCATGTCAGTGACCCTAAGTTCACGCCGACGAACCTTTCTAGCGAGATATGGAACTTCAGCTGGGCCTGGATTTCCACACGTACCTCGTCCAGTCAATGCCTTTTGTTTAATTGTAGTAAGCTAGAGTTTCTTCTATCGTCGTGAAATGCTTGATATGTCAATCTGCTAACGCGTACATGTCTCAGAAGCCCGCTATTAGTGCCATTATCAACTAAATGCATCTGGGAGGCTAATTTTATAATTGTCGCTTTAGAAAAAGAGATGAATCCGGTCCCAGAGCTTGGGGATCGTCCGGTATGCAGCGGCGTCTCAATGTTACACACCGGAATTTTACACTTTTATGCTACCAACAGGGACCTCTCTGCAATCGTGTTAGCGGATTCTCCAGACAACTTCTCGATTGGTCACTGAAGTTCCGTAAAGTCTAGTAAAGGTTTCTAGCAAAGCACGTGTCCGTTTCTGCATCGTTAGTCGAGACCTTGGCAATAGCGAGACGGTTCGTCTCGCAAGTATGTCTACCCCACAAGGCTGGAAAGCATCTGCGGGGAGGCCTCCATGGACAAGAGTGGCAAGACTTTTGTTGAGCTTTTGGTCAAATAATCATTCCTCAGCTACTTGTTACTTGTCCATCTACGTTTTCCTGGTGCTAGCTTTGTGACGTCAAACAAATATTCAGAGATGACACCAAGACTGTGGGGAGGGATAACACAGCCATCTCCTCAGGTGCAAAGGCTTAGCAATTCGGCTACATTACAAACCAAAACATGCTGATTACAGGAATACTAAAACTTGATATTTAATGATAAGCTGGCACTCTTGGCTACTAAACCCTTGTCCTAATCGAGGCAAAACCTACCATCAAGATGTCAAATTGAGTCCAAATTACGGGGAAATGAATCATTTGACATCATCGTCGATGCTTACCTCTACCATAGGAAGCCGGGTACCTATCGCAAAGACTTCAATATCGGCATAACTCCATTTTAACCTCAAAGAGCGGTTGTCAGCTAGCACATTGAGTTGTATTTAACGTGGACAACCTTTTCTGAGTCTAAAAAGCTTGTTTTTGAGAATAGAATAGAGAGAGAGAGAGAACAATAACGTCAAATGCCTTAGAATTTATCAGTGAGGTGAGAAAACGAGCGATAAGATTTCTAGATACCTATCAAATAGTTCCAGCTTCTGGAGACAATCTGCAGCCGACCCGATAAATGCCTCAGGATTGCTAGCCGATTCAACGAACATCCCACAAGCAAACTTGACAGGCGGTGATATCGTACATAGAATCGAATCGATTATAATATTATTGCGTCTTGTTCCCATCATACATTATCATAAATTGGCATCCAGGCAGTATATGCGTTCCAGTCGCTACCTCTTGCCCAATCCTAGAAGAGAAACCACTCCCAGTTCACCTAAGTGGGAGATGCAAATCAAATTATCCAAAATTACAGGGGAAACATCTTTGGGCTTCAATTTCATAAAGCGCTGTGCCCAAATAATATTACACTTTCAGCTTCCGACATCCGAGGCACCTCATTGCGGATTCTCAACTGCAGGCTCTGTATGCTCGGCAAGCCAAGGGTGTTCCCCAAGGAATTCTAAGGGGCGGTCCCAAAAAGAGTCACTGGTCTCCTCAGAAAAGTTGAGCTGGGTATCATACAGCCCGGCAAGCCAAGGGTGCTCCCCAAGGAATTCCAAGGGGCGGTCCCAGAAAGAGTCACTAGTCTCGTCAGAAAAGTTGAACCGGGTATCACACAGCCCGGCTAGCATGCGTCCCTCATCGCCACCAGGGCATGAAGGTCCAGGTGTTCCCTTGTTGCCGTCCATTTTCGATGGTACAAGTAGGTCCCGCTCACTGCCAGGTTCTGGTGTCGAATGCACCGTAAGTTCTGTGGCAAACCGATTCGAAAGGTCTTTTCTAGGCTGTAATGTATCTCCCGAGCTGCTCGCTCCATGGTCTCCATCGATAGGCGTAGATTGGTGTGAAGATAGATTCTTCTTGTCGAAAGCATTGAGCTCTATGGTTGACAACGTCGAAGCAGGAGACTTCGATTTCCGTGATGCTTGGTGCCCTTCGGTTTTAAAGGCTGAACCAGGAGTTGCAGATGTCGTTACTGGGAAGTATGTGTCAAAAGCCTCCCTGATCGTCTCCAGGACGCGACCACGCAGAATATCATATCCGGGCTCGTCTTGTAGTCTCTCCTCCAAGAGACCTCTAATCTCCCGCTCGCAGTGACTGCGTTGTTGTCGGATAAATTGCGTACATTGGTCTTGGTTCATAGGCCCAATAGACATGTCAAATTCGCAATCTATTTACCACATCAGCATGCTGACTATTAAGGATGACAAATGTGACAACTTACAAGGGCTCGGTATTTCGGTTTGATCTTCAAACAGAATAGTGTACATTGCTCTCCATTTCGAATCTTCGTCCCAGTTCTGTTTCCCTTTTCTCGACTTCAATCTATTCTTGATGTCGGCCGTTACGCCAATCATGGTAGCTGGAGGCTCAACAACATCACACGGAACCTGTTTCCGGCTGTGTGCTGCACGTTCCGCTTCCGTTTTGAATTCAGCAAAGCATCTCTCGCAGTGCGGAGCAAGCATGTGTGTCCTATAGATATGCTCTCTGCTGTCATGTTAGTTCGATACATCGGGCAACAGGGCCATTGAAGTCTGCTTACTTGATACGGTGAACCTCTTTGAAGCCTTTCTTGTGGCATTTTGGCCACTTCTTCTCGGGGTATCTTTTCGTAAATGGGCAAGCAAAGAGTCCGTGGCCTTCCCTGTCGAGGAGGTCGGGCTCAGTCTTTCTCCTCTTGCCTTGCTCATCATCTCCATCTTCTCTCTCGGAGTTATCGCCACCCTCGCCGAAAAAGCTCCTCTTCCGGCCAGATTTGCTTGGGCCAGAACCACTGGAGTTATTGGGGCTGAAACTTCCATTAGAGTACCCTCCTGATCCTGACTCTCCAGGTCCAATAGCGTGGGACCTCACCCACTCAGCCACTCTTGATGCGATTTGATTCACCATATGATCTTTGATGTTCAGTATGAATGGGAGAAGATTCGGGTCCAAAGATGAAGCCGCAAATGCTTCGAGAAATGGATCGTCCGTTTCATCCATGTCATCAGAAACAAGGCTGTCGTCTTCACTCGCGTCGTCGAGCTCTGACTGTTCATTGATAGATGTGGCACGTGTTGAGACCATCGGCATTGGGGAGGCGAGGGAATTGGGAATTTCGGAGGTAGAATCTGAGAATGACCTTCGACTAGATCTAGTCGGATTCGGGGGAATAGGCAACCTATCAAACGGGCCGGATGGCTGGACAGGGCTTGTATCCATGAACGAGTTTGCGGCGTCAGAGGCCCCTTCCGAGATGACACTGAGCGGTTTCGCAGATGTTTCCTCGTCCATTTCGCCTATATTGAGCCAGCCGGTTACAGGTTCTATCTTCAAAACAGGCCGTTCTGGTCGATCTCCATTCGTCTTCTTTGTTGGTTTCTCAAAGTTTTGCAGTTGGTTGGTGATATTCAGACTCTCAGCAGAAGACCGATCAATAGACTTTCTAAAGTTTCGCAAGCCAGCCGAACTTGGCGGCGTTGGCAAGGGATTATCGTCCAGATTGACATCATAGTGGCTTGACAATGTGCCTGTCGAGGACGACGATAGTCTTTGTCGCTTCGACGCGGCTGGGCGGGCCTCATCCGTGATGGGGGCCTCAACGGTGCCGACTGAGGATATAGAAATGGTCGACTGCGCCCTTCTGCTGAAAATCGATTCTGTAGTCGACCCTTCGGCGAATGATTCATGTGCCCAGAGGGATGAATATCGTTTATGCCGCTGTACCCCGTCCGGAAGCTCAGATCTCGACGAGTTGGTTGTGCAGCTCGATGTCCTTGTGGGATAACCAAATGTACTCCTTGGGCTTGACTGTAAAGCGAATCAATGTGTTAGGAGATTACTGATTTCTAGTTTTTTTTTCGATATTTCCCACTTACAAAACGAAGGTTAACGTTGTCCTCATCAGAAGACCCATTCCCAACGATCGAATCGCGATACGAGTCTGAAAGAATATATTAGTATTCGAAGTCTGTTAGTGATATATCTATCTTACCTCTTCGCTTCCTGTCATGGTCAATCCTACGAAGCTCTGTTGGAAGATGGCTTCCCACTCCAGTGAGGTCACGAAGCGTTGAGGCGTGTTGCGCATTCACTTGGTCATGAGCTGATTCCATGTTGCATTCCGCAATGTCTAGAAGGGAAGCAGACTCAAGCAACGGCTCTTCTGATACTTCTGGGCTTTCGTACGAACAGGTAGAGTCCGAGCCTACGGGCAATGCAGCGCTCCCATTGTTCTGTTGGTCAGGACCATCACAAGTGACAAGCGAGTCTGCCGATTTGGGTGGCCCCAATATTAAGTCCGACAACGAACGTTTGTAGGCCCGAAAACGTTCGGTCAACCTTTGTGTAGGCTTCTTGGCCTGTTGTTCTGAATTCGTGCGCCCTGCGATGTTCCGTGTCCCGATTCTCGATGAAACGCCTTGGGCGCCACGCCGGATGCGAGTAGGCAGATCCATGGTGAGCCTGCCCGATGGCCTATGGGGCACTCAATACGCTCCGATGGTGTACCGATGGCCGGTAGTCACTCGCTAGGTATAAGTGGTGGCTTTTTGTCAAAGAATGCAATGGTCCGAAGTGCAAGTGGAGGGAAGGGAGGAATTGGGCACAAAGGTCCCGGGCCCTGAATTGAAGTTCAAAGAGGAAGAATCCAGCGAGAAGACGTAGGTCGCGAACCACCAACACAACGACCTGACTGGAGTGGCCGACGCTTATTCCAAGGCGGCGGAGCTTGCATGCTGACCTTGTGTGCGTCATGCCATTGGTTTGAGGTGTCAGCCCGTGAACAGGGGGCCCTTGGTTGAGTGACAGGGGTTTTGCGCAAGTCGAGCAGCTTGCGCATAACTGGACGCGGAATCAAAGAAGTGAGATGGATATTAAGACGTAGGCTGCCGATGCGGATAACGCGTGGCTCCGCCCTACGAGTTTAACTGACTTTGAAAGTTCCCGCATGTGGAAGTTCAACTCGTTGTCTAGGACTCGTGAGTTTTGCGCAACGCGGACGAGTCTGGCCCAGGCCAACTATATAAATGGAGGCCAGAGGACATTGATGAGATGGATTAAACACACTTGATCAGAACAAATAAAATCATACAAAGATTGATGGCAAAAATCCCCCTTCACTTGCTCAATTGACATCCTCACACGTACATCAAGATGCCTTCCTACTCGACTACATCATCAATGACTGGCAATCAAGGGTCGACCAGATCTACAGTTTCCCTAAGTTCCTACTGTGCAAGGTACATAGATTCATAAGTTTTATGCAAGCTCTCCCTTTCCCCATACAGTTGCTAACATACAAAAGTCAAAGCAGCGCCAGGCAGAGCAGCAGGCGGAACCCTTCATCGGGGCTCTCGCCAGCTATGACGCGTTTCCTCGACGAGCCAAATTCGGTGTCTGCACGCATTTCCCTTGGGGGCCGTAACTCTACAACCCGCCAATAAGCAGAGCAATTGAGAAGGCTCACCATCACAGTGGAGCTCGTTAAGCAGGACTGTGGCTGTGTAACCAACAGCACTGGCGGCTGTGCAAACCCGCCACACTTCTGCAGGACTAAAACGCTTGTTGGCCAAGTGCACGCCGCAGGACGGTGAGCGCAAAAGACTGGCTGGTCCAGTGCCCATACCTGTCGGTAATTAGGCGGAGGAAGGTCGTGCAAGCTGCCACCCGGACTGTAATTGAAGGTCCTATCACAGGGGTGGTGGCATATTTGCATTTGATTGAGGAAGGACTTTGTTCCTACGAATTTATTATTACACGACCGCTCCAGCATCTTATTGTTAATATACATAATAATATCTTCTTTCCAACACATATAATTGACCCATACTTGCCAAGTTTATGTCCCCGGCCAGCTTCCCACGGCATGCAAGAATTGCGTGTTGCGGCATAGGGTAGCTCAGGGATCTTGGCCATTAACCTTGAAGTCAAACCCGGCCTTCAAGGCTGGATTTTCGAAATGATGCCTCCATGCTTAGAAGCCCAGGGCTTTCTTTAATCCACCTTTTCGGTGATCCTGCCAGACATCAGGGCCTATAGTGGTAGAGAGCTCGCGGAAGCCCAGGAACTTCTTGGCTCTTTCCGACAGCTTCTTTGCCTTGTCCCCCTCCAACAATAAAGGGTGAGCCTCTTCCGGTGTGAGTGCTGAGCTGATGATAGTGCAGCTCAATATTCTGCGATATTCATCACCAGTCTTGTTTTCCTCCCCTCTGTGCACTATCCTGCCGCCCAAGAGGAGACAATCCCCAGCCTTGAGCTCAACCTGCTCGACCTCATCATCCGAGTACTTCCACAGCTCCGCAGGATTGTCTAGAGCGTTTGCGTAGCTCATTTTGTGGCTGCCGCGAACAATTCCCGTCGCTCCATTCTTCTTCGTCGTGTCAGTCACTGCGATCAAAAAGTTGACCGCGAACTCCGGCATCCACTTTTCGCCCATGCTCCAGAACGGCCACCAGCCCACGACATCGGGATGGAGTGGCTGGGCTTTCGTCCCCGGCCCAATCTCAATCATTTGCGCCGTGCTGAGCCAGTAGTCGCCGGTCTCCTTGAATATTTCGGCCGAAATACTGTGGAGGCTGTCGTTGTTGATAATTTCCTCCCGAAACGTCGCGCTGGAGTTCAACATGTTCCCCAGGCGTTTCGTTTTGGCTCCGAATACGGCTGGATCGGCGCCATCTGGGAGCGGTGGTGTATTTGCGTTGGCCGGTCTCCCGGGAGTTATATCGGCCAGGGCTATATCCATATCTTTATTCAGCCGGGCAATCTGTGAGGATGGCAGCATAGATTCAATGACGAGGCAGCCATCTTCTTTCAAGGCTTTGACGACCTCCGTCGCCGACGCTGTGCGGGCAAAGCGAGAGAAATTTCTTGTCCATATGGCGGATAGGTTGGCTAGCGAGGATTGAGGCCTTGCAGAGATCCTCGCCATGAAAGAAAATCGTGCTGACATGGCCTCAGAAGTGATAAGGGTCTTGGATTAGGTCAAGTAGAGGGGAGCAGAAATTACGATGTCAGGGAGACGAAGGGAGAATTGGACTTATGTCTTGTGTCCAGAATCATAAACATGTAGATCACCAGCCGAATTCAGTAATCATCGCAACATACTTCGATTTATGTCAGTTAAGCACCCTTTCTTCGGTGACCAATGGCAGGCATTCTAAATGAGTCATAATGATCACCGACACTGTTTTTGATCCTCTATGTAGACATACTACTATAGATTTGAATAATCGACATTTTTGTAGTTGATGATGGCCTTCTTTGGTCCTCTTTGTTTTAGTCTTCCTTGAATGGTGACCTTCCTGATAACTAATAGTTCTTTACGTCTAGTTTCAAACATTTAGTTGGAAGATTGATTTCTACGGATACGGACTTGATTAGAGGGTGTCGTTACAAAGTCACACCGGCAGAATTATTATGGCAGTCAGCCATATAATAATGCTTTCTCTTGTGTAATAATGTATTAAAATGCTTAATGATTACTCAAAGAATTATTCTTAGCATGGACTATTCTCTATTAATATCATGGCCTGTTGGGAAGTTGAGATTGATGGAAACGCCTATGCATCCATCCCTGTTATTTTGACGCCCACGTCATGTTGTGTGGACATGAAACTCCACCTCTTGCCATGTATATTAGCCGAAAATGTAAGGCATAATCGGGTTGGCATGGTGCCATTACCAACCAGTCGAGTCAGCCCAGGCTCCTTTGATACCGCAATTGGATAAGAACGCATCAACTGATCGTTTGTGTCTACCCCCACTACTAAAAAACTACATGCTCAAAACAGTCTTCCCCAATGGCAAAGCGATTCGTCAAGTCTTTGATACGGCGCTGGCCTAATGATTCAGGCAAAAGAGAAGAAGAAGATGAACCGCCAGTGCCGACCGCCGTTGCGCGAGACCAACACGGCTCATTGCCCCTACCTCAGCCTGTCGTTCCAAGGCGAGATGATGGGTGCACGGCCTGTTCGTCCTCGAGTTCTCTTAAGCACTGCCTCGAGAATTGGGATACGATTAAAAATTTCGAGAACGATACTGTTCTCTACTCTTGGAAATTCGAGCCTATTCATCGGCTACCTCCTGAAGAACAATTGCCGCCGTGCGAGATGTGCACCACGATCCAAGATGAGATTGGCATTGTAGGCGGGTGTCATGACCGACGAGAGAATCTGAGGTACTTGAAATGGAACAATTGATTTCACCTAAATCAAGTTGAGTCTTGAAGCTTACATAGGTATGAGCAGGAAATATCTTTCCATCTGCTCCAATCTTAAGCAATGGATTGAATATGTCAAGGCCAGCCAGCCGATCTCGCAGTGGGCCATAGAAACACACCCCAAAATTGGAGAGAAGCTACAGAGCTGTAAAGATTTGTTCAAAGCTAAGATTTCCGTAATGAATCCGCTGGAGTCTGTGGATACAACTTCGCAAGCTCTCGACTGCGGTAGCCAGCTGAGCAAGGCATTGCATGAGGCCAGGATGCTTCACACCGGCCAGGTACTAAGTGCTGCTTTCAAGGAATCCATCCCGTTGTGTGAAAACATACTGCGTATCATGGAACAGCCATTGTCTCGGCACCAAGAATCCAAGTTTTGTGCATATTGCAAACACGAAGATCTTTCCCCAGAGAGTCTCGATGGCCTAGCCAACCGACTGTATCAAGTTCATCCAGCAGGCCTAACTCAAGCTTTAAAAGACCATCCTATTCCATGGCTCAAAGGGTCCTACAAGCGAAGTCTAATAGACAGAGTTCAGATTCGACTAGAGACAGAGGAGACCTGGAAAGGTTTAAGATTTCAGGAATATGAATTAGACCCATCAAAGCCTGGGGGAAATCACGCTGCACTCGGGTCTGGTGATGACTATCAAAGGACTATCGGAAACCCAACTGAGGAAGCCTTCCGCGCGATTCACCGTCAACTATCAAAGGACGAGGCGCTCTACGTCCCCATTTCATCCGACAAGCCCTGCTTCGCCCGCATTGTGCAACCAGAGTTTGACATCAGTCTTGTCAACAAGTGGCTAAACAGATGCCATTCCGATCATGGAAGCCGCTGCATCACTGAAACATCCGGGCCAAAACCTAAAAATCTTATCCTGGTCGACACAGAGAACAACTGCCTGGTTACTTTTACGCATGGTCATCCACCGCCGTACCTTGCTTTGAGTTACGTGTGGGGTGGCGTTCCGCAGGCGGAACTGACCAGACTGACACTGGATAAGTGGCATGAGCCTGGGAGTCTCACAGAGGAAGCGTCAATTACCCAAAAGGTTCGTGATGCAATGACCATTGTCAAACATACAGGCTTGCGGTTTCTGTGGGTTGATGCGTTATGCATCGTCCAGGATGATGAATATCAGCGGCAAGAGCAGATCGACCAGATGTTTCTTATATACCACCAAGCGGAGGCCACAATCGTGGCAGCTGATGGGCCAAGCTGTGACTTGGGTCTTTCGGGTGTCAGCAGATTCGAAGAGAGAGAATACATCGACAAACCCTTTCTTATTCAAAGCACGCCCATGGCGAGAGTTCTTCGGGATCCGCGACATGCTCTCCAAGCGTCAAAGTGGAGGACGAGAGGTTGGACACTCCAAGAAGAAGTCTGCTCTACGAGAGCAATCATATTTCTACCATCTGTAGTCTTGTTCTCATGCCCAACGGCGGTTTGGAGGGAGGATCTCCACCTGGAAAATGTCCAGGATCCTCGGGGGGTCTCTCTTCTGAATTCGTTGCCGAGAGCTTTGGAGAACAGCGAAAAGAGTTCAGAAGAGGAGCTTGTATCTATGTTCCGAAGAATTGCGAAGCAGTACACCCAGCGGACTCTCACCCGAGAGGGCGATGTGGGGAATGCATTTGCTGGAATCTCAAGGATGATGGAGGGCCTCATTGGGCCAACGTACCATGGAATCCCAGAAAGGTACTTTGCTCAGATAATATCTGGCTGTTGGTTCTGGGGAATATGCTGTGCTCGGCGGCCTGCATTTCCTAGTTGGTCTTGGATGGGATGGATCTACACCAAGGAGCAGGTCGGCACGGGCATCGAGCCCACATCTTGGCTTGGAGAAACGGCAGGCTTACTTACTTTCTTCAAACTTGCCGATGACGCTGAGATGCTACCAGAACCAGTTTTGGAATCACCCGTCGTGGACAGCCTTCAGCCTGGACTCCGCGAACATTTCACCCCTGATCTATCGCAAATACAGTCGCAATATGCTATCCTAGCCTCCAACCTTGAGCAAATACCCCCGGGACTAATTTGCTTCTACACTAGCTCGAGCTTCCTGAAGCTACGGCCTTTGTATAAGAACGCTGCATCGTTGGTTCAGGAATACCTCGTCCTTAGCCCAATCACCGAGGAGAGACTCACAAGTCTCTATTTGAAAAAGGCAGACGTCAGTGGGAACGGAGAATTGCAGCCGTTTATTGTTATCGCAGCTCAACGTGGCGAGGTTGGAAAGACAGGCTTGAGACTTATGTTGGTCAGGATGACTGAACGCTTCTGCTACAAAGTCAATGTGACGTCCCAAAGGAAGCTGGTAAACGAAGCAGCCTGGTGGGACTTGAACCCATCGAAACGGCTGGTCGTGATGGGATGAGGGTCAGCAATCTTGCAGAAGTACGGAGCCGTCCAGTTCTATTACTAAGAGCTTCTCATCTCGAGAGAAATCCTACGACTGGCTTCAGTCTAAGCTAGAGCTGAAGATCCAGAGCGTGGAGGTTAGAGCAGAGTTTCTTATTCTATTCAGAAGAGAATAGTACTATTAGATCTTAGAAATCCTACTAACTGAATAGAACTTATAAGCTACTCTTCCCGCTAAGTAAAACTCCTAAAGAGACTCTAGGAATATCACTATAACGACTAGACCGATGGCAACGAGAACTAATTATAGATATAACAACTAATCGCTGCTTATCGATTAATTGATAAACGATAAATTATCTACTAAGATAAACCTTCCGTCGGACTATACAAGAGATAGGTTTTCCCCTTCTTTATCTTTAATATAATTACTTTAAATAAACATAACTAATTATTCTTCTTACTAAGTCTACAGAAGCAAGATGAACTAATGGGTATATCAGCTTCAGCCTCTGCTAATACGAGTAGGTTCTTAATAGCAATAGCCTCTGCAGCTCTTTCTAGACGAACAAGACACTCGTAATATCCATGAAGGGCCCACACGTTCCTTGGATGCTGATGGCCTCGGGTGAGACCTTCGATCAGGCCGAGATCTTGGGCATATGCAGTCGCTGCCTGCTCAACCATGCCTTGCTCGAGGGAGAGCGCTCCATAGGGGTGTCTGGCAGGGACCATCCATCCCCAGGGCTCTGTATATATCAGGGCATCCTCTGCCTTGATAGCTTCTCTCAGAGCCTCAAACGCGACATCAAAGTTCCGACGTCGGTACTCAATTTCTCCGTCTAGCATAGCCGTAGCTACCCTTAGCACATCGACTATACGGTTAGGATAATCGAGGCGGGAGTCGGGCACGCGCCTGGCGGCTTCGCGGAAGAGAAGGCGCTGAGCATCAGCTTCCTGTACCTTACTGAGTGAGGCATACGCGATTCCTTTTCCATAGTAGGTCATAGCTGTAGTTACACAGTAGAGCTCTTTATTCTCGGGGATACCTAGATCAAGGATCTCTTGCCACATCCCGAACCGGATGTAAATATGGATACGAACAGCAAGGAAGAATTCGAGCCAGTCAGCCATAGGAGGAGACTTGACTGTAAGCATCTCCTCGGTAATGGTTGCTTCCATACGGTCGCAAGCCTTCAAGGACTCCTCTTTTTGCCCTGCCAGCATACAGGCATAGATAAGCGAGTGATAATCATGAAGTCGATAGAAGCTGTAGAAGTTGATACCGCCGTACTTAGCAAAGTATCGGTCATCTGCGAGAGTGGCTTTATGGTTATACGAAATGGAGCGGCCGTATTCGCCGACTAGTATATCAATATGCGTCGGCATATGGTACATGTGGCCGGCATCGCGAATGAGATCTCGGATGATATCGCAAGCCGGCAGGGCAGCTTCAGGTTCATCCGACCTCTCCATTAGATGAATATACAGATGAGAGATGCCGGCATGACGCTGGCCACCTGGCATGGCCATGCCTCGCTCCAAGACCTCACGTACCTCAAAGACAGGTGATGAGGTGATGGGCTTACCCGTCTTGATATTGAACATCTTTCTCGGTTTCCAGTTCATCAGAGCGTCGGCAAACAAAGCCACAACGTCGAGGTGGTCTTTGTACGTGTTGTGGACCCCCCTCATGGCATCTGCGTATGCTTTGTTGGCCGGGTCGAAATCGTTGGGGATCTCGGTGGAGGGATAACGCTTTTGTAATGCCTCGATCAACGCCTTTTCAAGTTGTGAGACGTGGCTGATCTTGCTCAATGCCATTTGGGCAATTTTATGACACCTTGGAAAGGCTTTGGCAAGATCATCGCGGTCGAACATAGCCCAGGTCTTATTGTAGTTAGGTCCTGAGGCATAGGAAAATCCCCAATACGCCATGCCGCAGTCAGAGTCGTGGGCAATGCATTGCAGGAAGCATCTACAAGCTTCTTCATGATTGAACGAGTACGTCCAGACCAGTCCGCGGTTAAACCACGTTTGAGCTTCTGTGCTCTTGGTAGTTATAGTCATGTGGTAGTCCCCGACATCGAAGTAGGGCTCCATGACCGATTGCTTCTCCGGGACCTTGAAGTAAAAAGTCATCTGGAAAGGTGTCAGCATTTGCCCTAACTGATATCTTACATTTAATGGATGACGTACTTTGGTGGTAGCGATGTTGGACTGTTTGTTAAACACGTACAAGACCTATCAATATACAGAGTAGAGCGCTCGATATATCAGGTTAACAGGCAATGGATGCAGTTTGCTTCTACGCCTCAGGGACTATATATATAGTGGAAATCCCCCACGAATTCCGACACTTGCCGCTAACACTTCGCCCCCTCACTCTGAAGTTCGGAGTGAGGAGGCCCGGTGGTGGCGTGTCCGACGGAGCGTTACGCGGATAAAGTCACCGCTCCATGCTAGTCATAAGGCTCCGCCTGAACCCCTCCCCGATTGGATTTCGGTTCGCTAATGCAGACTACGAATATGTCATTATAGAGGGGGTGTCTCCCGGCTTGTTGGTTGCTTATTTATTCTCCTATGAAAAATGCTTACAGCTCGACATCTACTTACGTAGTGCTCAAATTCTGAAGCCCACTAACAATTCTATCCAACCCTTTCGTCAGGTAAGGCAGCTTGTAGGTAAAGACGATTCTGTACCATCCTACTTTCTCGGACCCGTAGTCCTTGCCTGACGCAACGTAGACTTTTCGATCCAGCAATGCTTTCGTTATGACGCTTTGAATGTCCATATGGCAGAATTGCGGATGGAGAGCCCGGAAATAGGCACCGAGGTCAAGCCATAGGAAGAACGCCGCATTGGCTCCAGGGGTGTAGGGGATGCCATATTTCTTGGCCCAAGCAGTAACCACGACGTACTGTTCGGACATGCGTCGTCTGTTCTCAGCGATATATGAGTCTGACCACTGCTGATCCTCCAGGAACGCCGTAGTAAGTTGGTCAGAGACCAGCGAGGGTGTGCTATACAACCCCACGGTGAGCATGGCATCGTGCAGTGCCGGGTTGCTCTGGGAGATGAGTGCTCCAAGACGCAGGCCGTTCGCGCCAAAGTCTTTGGATATGCCCCAGATGATGTGGACTCGGGACGGGTCGATGAGGTCCTTTGTATCAATGGATAGGACTGATTCGAATGGAACCGGCTCGACCTCGTCCACGGTATTTTCCCACGTCGACAGCGCATAGATCTCGTCGCTGATGAAGTGGATCTTGTACTTTTCACACAGCTGCATTAGTTCAACAAGAACCTTTTTCGGGTAACAGCGTCCCAACGGGTTGTGGGGATGGCTGATAAGCAGTGCCGCAGTGTTGACTCCGTTCTCGCTGCTTTCTTGGAGGACTTTCTCATAGGCGGCTACTGCATCTAGCCCAAGCGGATCGACATCTCGAAACGGAACTGGCAGCAGTTTTGCTCCGAAGCGTAGCTCGATATCGGGAGCAAATGTACCATAAAAGGGCTGGCCTAAGAGGATGCCCTCACCCGGGTTGGCCAAAGCGAACATAAGGTGCTCCACGGCGCTGCTGCACCCATTCGTGATCTTGAGATGTGATGGTTCAAGGGAGCGGAATGGCTTAAGATGTCTATTGAGAAACTGAGCCATGGAGCTCTTAATCCGTTCAGTGCCAGTCATGCCGTCTCCGTAAGTTAGTGTCTTGACGGTAGGTGAGAAGCTCTTCCGCATGTTCTCTATAAGGGTATCATGCATGAGAGCGTTTTCCGCAGCACCCAGATTGACATATCCTTCTGGGTTGGAAACAGGATCCCAGACGTCAGGCATGATGTTCCAGACGGGAGCGGCACGGCCTGATTCGCTCGCTGCCAGTCCGCGCGTTGAGAGGTTTCTCGTAGGCATGGAACCCATCCTGGGCTGTGTTGAGCTCGAAGTTCTTTCTTCCTGCTTTCTGTGTTCGTTTTTGCTGTGTAATGGAGCGTAGATGTCTTGATGTGCAGTCTGGTGGCATCTTGTACAGCAAACGAGTGTCCCCAATATTTCAATACTTACACCGCTTCCATTGCAAACATGCGCATGCAGACTATGCAGCTCCTCAAATGCGCGTTCGGGACGGCGTTATTATCGGAGTGGGCGCGCGTCAGTTTACGCCGAGGCGCCAGCGGCAAGTCTGGACTTTCTAGGCACATGGGAACGTAATCGCACGGGACAAGGCAGATATGGGTCGATTAACATACGTATTTGCTGATGTATCGAGGACTTTCGATGATCAAATTGGCATATGGCCGTGTGAAGTGTTCATTCGACAGTCAGAGATACGTGTTTGTAGAACCAGCGCATAATTGGTCGATCGAGATATAAGATTGGGCAAAAGATTTTCTCTACTCGTGCTACTAGATCTAAACTTTCATCCAGCGGAAGGACTTCAAGACGTTGCCTATTGCTCCGCGATGGAATATCGGCGAGACAACTTCCACCTTTTGGTTCCCCTGTTGAGACGTGTCACTACCACCAAGAGCATTCTCACGCTGGCTACTCTCCATGCCCATACGACTAATCTTCCACCCTCTCAGCAGGAACAAGCAGCCCGCCGCAATAATATACATGAACCCGGTGAAGAGCTGTGTGCCTAAATAAGACCCCGTGTCCTTGACCATGGTTAACGCAATAGCCTCGCTGAAAGTGCAAGGAATTGCCAGGCTGAGCCACATGGGAGTCAAGCCGGAGGCGACGTCCTTCATTCCCACGACCTCGATCATCAGAGGTGCAATGGCCGCCCAGAATACGCCACCGACGATGCCTTCGAACATGGCAAACGAGACCAGGGTAGTATAGGTCTGGGTGCACACCCACATGGCGAGCGGCAGGATCCCTGCGAGCAAGGTCATGATGGCCGCCATGTTGATGCGCCCAAATCGATCGCTCAGGTATCCAACCAAAGGCCGTCCGACTGCCTGGCCCAAGTTGAAGATGGCGCTGACGATGGAGGCTTTGGAAGAATCCAATCCGAGGTGATTGGCGAAGCTGGCAAGGGTGAAGATGAGGATGAAGTAGCCCAGCATGGTAAAGCCCCCGAAAGCAACCAAGAGCCAAAAGCCCAGCATCTTAAAATGCTTGATCTGGAAAGGGTTGCGAATAGCGCCGGCGGTAGCCTTGTTCCGGTCTCTGACCAAGATGATCATGGAAGTATTGACCACAAAGGCGAGTAGCCCGAGCACCCGAAGAGCCCAGTGAAGGCCAAGGTTTCGGATCATGGCACCCGCCGCCAGGGAGTAGACGGTGCCTCCGAGAGCAGCACCAGCCAGGGCGAATCCGGTAGCCAGAGACCGTCTGGTCGTGAACCACTGCGGAATGACCGCGGCCGTCGGAATAAAGAGCAGGCCGAGCCCGAGCCCGAAGAGGACGCCCTGGGTCAGGAAAAGATGCCAAGGTTGAGAGGCTAGGCTGGCGCAGACCAGGCTCACAGACTCGAGAAGCATGCCAGCCAGCATCACAGGTCTGATGCCGAACCGGCCAACGCAGATGGTCGCGACAGGGGAGATGAGGAAGAGGCAAGTCAGGCTGAGCCCGCCGATGAAGGCATAGTCCAGCGATGTTGTTCCCGGGAATATATCCGTATCTAGGTAATGAGCAAGGAAGACGGCGTAGGCTGAGCTAAAACCCCACGAATGCATGTTGATGATGGCCACGGCGGCGGTGCAAACCCATCCGTAGCCCCCGTTGGGAGAGGCTCCAGCCGTGTATTCCGTCTCGAGCTCGGCCGTCGCAACGAATACACTCCCTGAACTAGCTTGGGCTTTTGTTCCTTCCAACTCTGTTGGTTCAAACAGACCGTTGATGTCCGGCGGAGAGTTGGGGGCCATGGTCGTCGATGGTTCGATCGTCGTCGACTTTGTTTATTCACCACTATGATGGGGATGGAGTCGTCAAGTCAAGGAGGGACCCAACCAACACTGAAGCTGACCAAACTTTCGAGGTATGCTGGAAGACCTTTCGTAGTTAAAGGCATCTCGGCGAATAAGTATCCGCGAGGTATATGAAGAAGTTGAGTCTTGTTGAAAATACCTCCTGCCGGCGGGACACTCTCAACAGCTTGCTTCCTCGGAGTGATGCTCTCTTCCTAAAAAAACTGACAGTGTATAAGAAAGGGTGGCTCCACACCAAATTATTAGTATGCTGCCCCTTGGAGACCGAGACATCACGAAAGCCTCCGCCATCTCTCCGCGGTGCCTCCACACCTGACGCTGTCGTTTCTCCGCCGATCAAGGAGCCTCGCAATTGCTTCCGTATACTACGGGTACTGAGGGTTGCGTCACGCAAGGTCCAGGATCCATCTGACGATACCCCCGGAACTTCGCTCATGAAATTGTCCCGTTTATGCTATTCTCAAGGCCGAGTCACCCAGGCTGGTCAATCCTGCAAAGTCAGTCCCACCAACTTCACAACAACATGGAGCTCTCAAAGAAACGCCGTTTTGCACTCGCGGAATCTTTTCCATGGATTGAGAGCCCTCTCATCTCGAGCGCTCCTATGAGTGGTTTTGCAACAAATGACCTGGCCATCGCAGTCACCCAGGCAGGAGGCCTCGGGCAGATAGGATTCACGGGTAGCCCGATGAGGATGCAGTCGGAACTAGAAAAGGCGAAGCAGAAGCTACAAGCAACGCCCGTGTGTGATGAGGCTTGCAAGGTGCTCCCAGTCGGCGTCGGTATTATCGCTCTCGGTGGAAGCACCACTCCCTGGATCCAGACGCTTGCCGAGTACAAGCCAGCCATGGTGTGGCTCTCGTTTGGAACGTGCGACGAGTTCAAATCATGGACTGACGACATTCGCTCCGTGTCTCCTGACACCAAGACCTGGATTCAAGTGGGGAGCGTCAGCGCAGCTCTGGGAGCAGCCGCAACGTGTGCACCGGACGCGCTCGTGCTGCAGGGCAGTGATGCTGGCGGCCACGGTCACAAGCACGGGGCAAGCATTGTCACTCTGATTCCCGAGGCCATGGATGCACTGCACAGGCAAGGCTTCTCCGACATTCCCGTAGTTGCCGCAGGGGGCATCATGGACGGGCGCGGTGCGGCTGCGGCCATCGCACTTGGGGCATCAGGCGTCGTCATGGGCACGCGCTTCTTGGCATGCTCAGAAATTGAGATTGAGAGCGAGGTCGCGGATGAGTGCCTCACGGCTTCCGACGGAGGCGAGGCTACCGTGCGCTCTCGTGTCTTCGATGATATCTGGGGACAGAACGTCTGGCCCGAGATGTACGACGGTCGATGTCTTAGGAATGCCATCTACGATGATGTGGAGGAGGAGGGAATGAGCCTCCAGGAGGCCAGGGAGCATCTCATCCGTCGAAGCAGAAACGAGACCAGCTCGGGCATGAGGAATATATGTGCAATCTGGGCAGGGACTGGGGTCGGGATGCTGAAGGAGCGGGAGAAAGCTGCGGATATTGTGAGACGGACCCAACAAGAGACGAGGAGTTTGCTGCAACAAATGAGTAGATGGTTGTAAATAGTCTAGTAACACTACGTTGAATATCGTTCATAAGATAGGACCTCAGATACCAGTCAGTGGCCGAGTTCTTCCACATGCTCGTTCAAGCCAACACCGCAAATTTTAGCCATGTGGAGACAACATAACATCAATTAATGTAGCGCCTGATGAGCGCGGCGAAATAATGTAGTGGGACGGGCATCTCCAAAAGGCTCCGCGACCTTTCTGGTTGAGTCACCGTGTCCCCGACACCCAGAATAGTTTTCCTCTTGCACTGAGCACGGTTTTGTTGCTTGAGTGCCTGGCTATTGGCATTCACATACCGTTCTGCTCGTAAGAGGAGCCATGGCTCAAAAGCTCCCAGCCTGTGACCCATGTCGATCTCTCAAATTGGCCTGTGATCATTCGCAGCCATGCACGCGATGCATGGAGAGAGGCCGTGAGACGCGCTGTATATATCGACCTAAACCCTTCAAGCGTTCGAATACAAAGGCGCATAGGCACAACCCAAATGCTGACCGTAGAAGGTACGATTCCGAATGTAGTGCCCAGGACACGACCACTAACGTCATGTAGCTCTAGGCGGTCCAGCTCGACCACGCAAGTACATGTACTGCCGAGTCCTAACCACTCCGTCGGTGCCGAGACCATAGGACCGCAGGTACGATATCCCAATCCTGGATACCTCGGTTCTTCGAGCCATACTACTCTCTTTGACCATCTTAGGAGAGAACACGGCGAGCCCGTCACCCCCGGCTCGGACGAAGGTGGTATCCAGGCCGCGAGTCCCTACTTGAATCCTTCCATTGATAAGAATCTGGTTGGAGTAGGCGCTCAACTGCTGAATGACCTCACGTGCCTCCCAAACCTCTGGTCTTACTTTGAACTGGTCCAAGGTTGGGTGGCCAAAGGCGCGAATCTGGGTCTGGCAGAGCCGCTGACGGGATTGTGTGTCCGAAACACGAGAGCAGTGTTATCAACAGTGCTCGACAAGCCAGAGACGGCCGCAAGCATCTCCAGGCGCCTTTTTGTGCAATCATCTCTACCGATGTCCACAGATCCTACATCCACCCTCGAGGACTTTTGCAGTCGCTTCGACGAACCAAGAGCACGGTGGGAGACTATAGGGCTCTTCTTCACCGCTGCCTGCCGGGCCGCTACCGACTCAGCCTTCGTGGTCGGCGTCTACGATACTGAACAGGACAGGCAGAACATGCAAGGGACGGCGATGCGCTTTTCGGATCGGTGTCTGGAAGTGTCCCTCTTCTTGGACCGCCTAGGAGACTTTCAGTTGTTTCTACAGTATGAGAACTTTATCTGTCATTCACAGATAGATGGCGACCAAAGTACGTATCAGTCCTTCCCAGCCGAGTTATAATTAGCAGTACCTTACAGTAATGCCCAGGCTACCGCTCCTGGCGAAAACTGGGCGACGTCGCGAGCTCTCTGTTCGCTCTAGGTTATCATCAACAGACGGATGGGGAAAACTGCCCGCCCTTCCTCAAGCGGTTGCGCCAGGTTGCTTTCGGCAGATGCTATTCAGCTGACAGAAATGTCTCCATATTCCTCGGTCGTCCGTCCAGGATCCAACGCCAGTGTTGTAAGACGCACTTGTTCCTCAAGGAGGATATCGGGGGCACCTCCGAGGACTGGCATAGTCCGGAAAGATGCAACTTCATCACAGATGCCCGATGGGCTGCCGTCTGTGCCAGTCTCAAAGAGGATACTGCCAGACTGTCTAGCGAGGCAGACTATAATGAGAGAACCCGTCGAGCCAGGTTCGTCCGTCTCTAACCGAGCCCCCCGATGACTTTCATCTGGCCTGACCGAGCTACAGCATTATCCAAGCCGAGGCTGATTTTCAATGGATGAGACTACCACAATGCTATCACTCGGAGACCGAACTCGAATTGGCCAACTGCAAGCCAATCGAGCGTGATTTCATCATTACGGCTCGGCTCGGCTACCTTCACGTACAGTTTCTACTTCAGAGAACATTGCTGCAGCATCCTTCACAGCACGATGAGCGGCTGTTTAAGATATCGACCCAGATACTCTCCTTGGTCATTGATGCTATCTTGTGTAGGGACCGGCTGGTCAATTCTGGCTCATCGCTTGTCTGGAAAGTAAGTGTATTCACTCTGTCACCAAATACCGTTAGTAGTGCTGAACATTATGGCTCAAGGTAGCATACTTTGGTCTTGCTGCAGCAGGGACTATTTGCGTCTGCTTGATTAATCGATTTTTCGCAACCATGCCATCGTCTGTGGAGATCAGCGCTACCGTTCAGAATCTGAGCACGCTCGTGGCGGAGATTGAGAGGGGTACTCTAGTCAGTTCCCAGCACCCAAACTATGCTCTCTTGACGAGTGCAACAAAGACCATCGATAGTCTCCTCAAGCGACTCATTGCGTCTTCAGCCACGGGCGTCTCGATTCATAACTATCCCCAATCTTCTTCATCAATCGTGGTCGATCAGATCGAAGACCTGGACCCTGGGATCTGGAACACACAGGAGAATTTACAAGACTTTGAGATTGACTTTTGGCTCAATCTCTCGGAGCATCCATTTCTTAGAAATTGACCTGACTTTCCTTCTCCAAGTAATAAAGTTCCCAGCTTGTCTCGTGACGCACGTATGTATACGCGTGTATGTAACCTACTGCACTATTCCGACCAGCTGGGTTATTCAGTTGAATTTCTCACTTATTTTAGCTAGGTATTTGGCCACATAGTCATTCTTTCAACACTATCCCTCCCCTCGCTTAGGAAAACCTTCTATAGGAGGATTAAAACTCTTTGTTTCCACAAAGCATAGAGAGGTGACATACTCTTTTTTATGGCACAGGTTGAGTTATCTAGATCCACGATGGTTGGGGTCTCCAAGCCCTTACATCACACCGCTATACTTCACACAGTTAAAGCTAAAGATCTCAGCATTGAACCAGTATGCTACGGGGCCTAAGAGCATTAGCCGCAGCCTCAGGCTACGCGGTCGTATATATTCCAGCCTAGTTTCAAACCACGGACCTTCAAGATATAGCGGTGACCAACAAGTCCCCGGTTTCTTAATTATACAACACCTCCCTTTTGGGTCTTTTACCACGTCGTCGGAACTCGTGACGCATATTCTATTATTTCATACATCATTCCAGGTCCTTCTGGACACTCTCGATGAGAGACTGTAGGTGCTTTGCCGTGCGGAAGCAATTGAAGAATGCCGTGGGCTCGATGCTACGAGGGCAAGAGTCTGCTGGAAACGACGGTGTTGGAGACTTGGGCTTCTTGCATACTGCACCGGAGGAGCACATCTCGTGCCCCTTTTCGTGAACCTGCCATTGCCGCGCGACAAAGGCAGTGCACATACGATTGAGTTGGTCAACTTCGATCCGCAGCAGCGCCTTTGCGAGAGGCCAAGCATGCCGTTGCTCGAGTTGGAAATCAAGCTGTTGGCAGCCGGGACCCGTGGAAGCCAGATAGATTTTCTTGGCGCATTGGTCATCGGGCGAGGCAAGCGCACGGTGCCTCTGCTCCCGGGTGAATTTCTGATACAACAAGAGGGCGTCCATCATGACTGCTCCGAAGAGGAGCACATTCCCTGCAACCTGGCTAGGTAGACTGTCGAGATTGCCGCAGCTAGTACAAGTCAGTACCTGTTGTGCCAGATCCCTCGACTTCCGCTGTGCCATGATGAACTCCAAAAGGTCGTCGATGTCGGTCTTCTTCGTGTTCATGTGATCTTTGACAAACTTTCCGCATTGGCATTGCGTATCTGCGTGCGTGTGCTCGTGTACTTGTGATAGTGCCTCGTCGGCATTACTGATGCAGCCGTCTCCTCGCGGCTTATTATGCACTTGAAGAAGCTGATCCTGGCACGAACCAGCGAATGGATGCGCATTGTTGATGATTGTATCCAACGCTGACCATTCGGACCATGAAAGGTCGTCCGGGGGGGTCGGGAAAGTCATTGGAGCACCCAAGGCATCCAGGGTCATGGCGTCGTCGGCGAGACCTCCTGGTACATTGAGATGCTCAAACTCTGAAGGTTCATTGCGGCAGAATGAAGACAGGCCAGAGCTTTGTGGACATAGAGAAGTTGATCTCGGGTTGGATGGTGGAGTGGCTTGTCGCTTTGACGGGCGACCGATAGGTCTTGTAGGAGAGTATCGACAAAGCAACCCAAATCTCTGGCAACGGGTGCATGGAGTCTCATTCGAGCATTTGATCTTGCGCTTCCCTACATCACCGATTTAATGATTAACCATGGGATCCGCCGACGAACTGTTGGTTTAGGGTAAGATGAGGTGAGGTAAGACGAAACAAGGGGCAAGGGATGGTCGCTGAACATGACTTACTGCAATGGTCACACGTCTTGCGCAGTCCTTGAGGTGAGCTCGGCGCTCTACATAGCTCCATCTTGTCGCTCCCTTTGTCTACTCAGACGCCGAAAGGGGCCGTTCACCATGAGTGGCTTCCCAAGACCCCAAGACACTGTCCCTAGTGGTCGAAACGAGGCTCCGCAAAGTCGCCGCGCTTGCGGGGCATGCGGTGACTTTATCATCGTCACACGACGCACTAAAATCGAACGAATGTTCCGGCCTCTTCCCTGGTTGGTTGGAATGTTTACATATATCATTACGTACTCAGCCTCCCCACAGCCGCGCGCGGAGACTTGCTTGCAGCCAATCACAACAGATAAAATAGAAAGCATTTTCCGAGGCCATTATAGCAAGCTCGCTACCGGCCGGCGTGTTTGACTCGTTGAGCAGGAGTCATGGCTCAAAGACTGAAGGCGTCCTCGGAGTATGGTCAGGGGCACTGGTATCGGGTAACTGCCGGATGTGAGGGAAGATCATAGTGAACCCGCAAAGTCACGAGCAATACACGTTCAATGGTTATAAACAGGATCTAGCATCTAGAAGGGGAGAAACACCAGAGACAGTCGGACAGAAGACAGATATTGTGTATCACTTCTCCAAACCAGACACTCGTGCCATCATGCAGAATAATTCCGGAGACCACGGCCAGCTGTTCAACGATGAGACCGTAATGCCGCGAGGCATTAGACCTCCGCTGAACAACTTGGTGCAAGCCTTTCACTCGTCCTCCTTAGCATCCTCTACTGCCCAAGCACAGCCACTTAAGCAGAGCCACCTAGAGTCTTCCGAATGTGATCAAGCAGCCGGTGAATTCCATCTCTCAAGCCGGGGGGCATATAACAGCTGCTTCAGAGACGTCTGGGGCCCGCGTGAGAAGCTTGCGTTGGGCACTTGGTCCGAGACAAATCCTGACGGCCGGTGGGTGACCTCCCTTCCAGTTCCATGAGTACGGCTGGATTATGCTGACAGATGGTTCTTCTGGTGATGACAGTGTATTGCTTAGGCTTGCCGAGAACAATTTGGTGCACCCAGAAGTTGCTGCCTTTATTCAGAAACAGGTATGCCTAAGTTGTGGCGTTTCTTGCACCGTGGAGTGCTAGCGATGACTAAACTTCTTCGTCCAGTTCAAGATTCTGCCACTCGATCATCTTACTTACAACACTGGCCCACGAGGTTCGTTTCGGCTTCGCCATGCTCTGAGCCGCTACTTCGAGCAAGAATTCAATTCGTTCCTCCCCGTCACTCCGGATGATCTATTCATGACGGCGGGTTTGACCGGCGCCATTGACTCTCTAGTCTTTGCTATCTGCAACCCTGGAGACGGCATCTTGGTCCCTGAGCCGTTTTACAATGGCTTCAAGATTGACATCACACATCGTTCAGATGCACACATCGTCGGTGTCAGCTATGATGATCTCGAAGGTGACTCGTCTCTGGAAGATGTGTTTGATGCAGCAATGACAAAAAAGGCGCTGAACGCTGCGCTCGTCAAGGCACATAGCCGAGGCATTAAACCACGAGCGGTTCTAATTTCCAAGTAAGCATTATTACCAGCCCAGCATTTTACCCAATAAGCAGGCTCTGATCATCTTAAAGCCCACACAATCCATTGGGACGATGCTATGTAAGTCGCTCCATTGGAACGGCCATGAGCCTGGTCCTGACACAGAACGCCATAGCCTTTAGAAACCATCCAAGCATTCATGACCTTTTGTAACGAGAACAACCTGCATTTCATCTCGGACGAGATCTATGCTAAGTCCGTTTTCGAGAATCCTGCCCTCGACGCTCAATTCACATCAGCGCTGTCTCTCGATTGGAAAAGTCTCATTTCGCCCAACCAATTCCATGTGCTGTACAGTGCCAGCAAGGACTTCTGTGCCAACGGACTGCGTCTTGGTGTGGTGTACAGTAAAAACGAAGGCCTTTTTCGCTCCATGTCAAGCATTGGGTGAGTGGCTACTCCTGTCCCACCTTGGCAACTTTTCTGTTGACAGCTCATGAAAAACAGGGCGTTCTCGTGGACACCACATCTAGTTCAAGACATCTGGGCATCCATGTTGGAGGACGAGGGGTGGAGGACAGAGCTTCACAAGAAGAACAAGAGCTTGATGGCCGAGAATTACGGCGTCATCACTGACTTTATGCAACAGCACGACATTCCCTACTGTGAGATGTATGTATCTTTCTCCTTACAGCACTGGCTGTTTGACTGACTGTACGCAGGAACGCTGGTTTGTATCTTTGGGTGGACTGCCGACGCTTCCTTGTTCCAATGGAACAGCGCACCCGTGCCGACTTGGGCAGTTTACGAGTGGGCGGGCCAAACGACGATGTATTCAAGCAGCGCGAGGCACGGTTTGTTGATATCTGCATTGAAAGTGGTGTTTTAATCTCGCCCGGCACCATCTACCAAGCTCGCGATTACGGCTGGTTCCGCATCACGTTCACCGCGGTGCGACCCATGTTGGAGGAGGGTCTTCGCCGCTTTGCCAAGGTGTTGGAATCACAGGAGGTTTCTCATTGGAACAAGGCCTCTTAGATTACTTAGGAATGAGTTCATGGAATATTCTTATCTGCCAGGTAGCCTTAATTCCCGATCCTTCCTCACCCTCACCCTGAAAACCTGATTGAGTGACAGCCCGATTCGATCCTCACGTATTTCCTCAGTGCTTGACTCTCAGCCCAGCAGACTGCATAATCGAATAGACTAGTAGGCAAAACGTATCACTATCATGTTACTATAAGAGTTTTGGCGGAAACATCACGACATGAACGTGGTGGGATGAGTCAGTGGAAAATTTCGGCAATAGCATGTTTCTCATTTTTGTCCTGGCCATGGTGATCACTTCTTGGCACAGCATCCGTTCTCTACCTGCACGCCATCGGATAGCGGTGGCGCATTTGAGGTATCTAGTCTACAAAAGCAGGATGCTTCCACGGGAACATCAGCACCCGCCCTAGCAAGCCTCAAAGCTGGTTCTATGACTGCTGCCTCGGCGTCCTTCTTCATTCGAACGAGGCACTCATGATATCCCCGCAGCGCCCACACGTTGTTTGGATGGCGTCGTGCTCGGATCAGCGTTTCGTCAAAGCCCAAGTCGGCCTTGTACACGGCAGCAGCCTCTTCGACTTGCTCCCGTTCGAGGAGCAACGCAGCATAGGCGTGGCGGGGAGGCTGCATCCAGGGCCACGGCTCGTTATAGGGAAGGGAGTCGTCTAGACTGATGCATTCCCGGAGGCTAGCAAAGGCCTGGTCGTACTGGCCGTAACGGTATTCGATCTCTCCGTCTAACATCTTTGTGGCGATGGCCAAGATTTGCTTGGCCGTGCTCATGTAGGCCTTTCTAGTCTCAGGAACAACTGCGGCAGCCTTCTTGAAGAGCTCTCTCTGCTCCTCGGCTGCCTTGAGATTACTCATAGCCGCGTGAGCTACGCCCTTGGCATAATGGTAGATGGCGATGGTGAAGGGATAGAGTTGACGGTCTTCGGGAAGAGGCAAGTCAACAATGTCTTGCCACATGCCAAAGCGGATCATGACATGAGCGCGGACGCCAATAAAGTGCTCCAACCAGTCCGCCATGGGAGGTGACTCGATTCGGAGCACCTCTTCAGGCAGCGTGGATCCTAGACGTTCCACGGCATCCAGAGCGGTGCTCTTCTGGCCAGCAAACATGGATGCGTAAATCAGCGCATGGTAGTTGTGCAAGCGGTAGAACGTGTAGAAGTTCATCGCCCCCTTTTCACGGTAGAATCGCTCATCAGCCCGAGTCGCATCTTGGTTGGAGGCGATCGATCGTCGCCAGTCTCCAACCTGGGCGTCCAAATGCGTAGGCATGTGGTGGGCGTGGCCGCCGTCCGGGATCAGCTGTCGCAAGCAGTCTGCCGCTCTGATGCCCAGCTCTGGCTGCGGCGACATCTCAATGAAGTGGATATACAGATGAAGAACGCCGGGATGTTCCCAGGCCGTCTCGTTGTCCCTCAGCGCATCATCGAGGACCTCTTGAATTTGCCGGGTGCGCGCCTGAGGCTCGGGCTTGCCGGTATGCAGGTTCCACAGCTTCCATGGGGTGAGCTGCATCATGGCATCAGCGTACAATGTCGCAATATCGTTGTCGCTCTTGTTGTCCTTGTAAATGGCTTCCATGGCATCGGCGTACTTGTGGTTCATCACGTTGAGCTTTTTCACATCTGCTGCAGCTTCCGCATCCTCGAACCGGCAGTTGATGGCGTTGATGAGAGCATGCTCTACAGGAGTCACATTCGTCGCAAGCTCTCGTGCCTTTAGAGCAGCGTGGTGGCCACGCTCCACGCACCGAACGAGGTCCCTGCGGTCAAAGCGTTCCCAGGCCTTGTTGTAATTGGGACCGAGGGAGTATGCCAGACCCCAATATGCCATAGCACAGCTGGGGTCATGTGCAATGGCCTGTCGGAAGCAGTAGTTGCCTTCATCGTGGTTGAAGATGTAAACCCAGACCAAGCCTCGGTCGAACCAAGCCTGGGCCTCAGGGGACGAGGTAGTGATCTTGCGGCCGTAGACGCCAAGATCAAAGTACTTCTCGCTAGGCGCGACTGGGGTGGTGTCCATCCAGGTGATGTCGCTCATTGTGGTATCACATACGTAGCTTGAGGAATAGTGTCTCTAGACCGTATGGCTGCACGGTCTAGTGGGCTGTAGCCTTCAGAGTTGCCGATTTATACACGATATAACGGGTAGAAGAAATCTCGGGCGGCAGGACGACTCGGAGTGCTTCGAGGGATAACGGCGTTGGACGTCTGGTCTCCAGGGCTAGCCTACATCTGGCAAGACGCAAAAGTCCGATAACTCTCCGCTCTGGTTGGCAAAACCCTCCGCGCCGACTAACCGGGCTCAGGTGGCAGCCGGGTGATTGCGTAAGGATGCCGAGCTGGTGGAAAATGCCGGAGACCCCGATATCATCTTAGCCCATTTGCTATCATCGCCGAATTTCCCACACGATCATTATCCAATGAAGGTAAAGACCAGGTTTCATAGCATGATAAGATGGTGAAACCCTGCTCCGTACTCGTACCCTGATCACGATACAACTGCGGATTCTAGCTGGAAACCGATAACACTCAATCAAAGAACCAATCAGATCCAACACCATCGCTGATGCACAGATTGTTCTGACAAAGGATGCTCCGGCACATAAGTTGTCAGACACCCGTATCACTACATTCCGGAATACTAATTGCCTCCAAAATACAGGTGTTGGCCCTTAGGTAAACTTGGGCCAAATTCGAATCGTAGTTTGATGAGTGGAGCAAGCCAGATGGAGTCCTAATCAACAGCTCCATCGCTGCCCAGACGGAGCGAAGCTGTCAGAATTTGGCAGCCGTTCTGAAAGAGGTAGGTTTATCGATGTCGCGAGTGGTTAAATGCAACATCTTCTTGTCTGACATAGGACATTTCGCGGTAAGGTTCTGTCGGCGACGCACCTCATGTATTTGTCACTCGTCCGAAATCCCAGGAGATGAATTCAGTCTATGCTACATACTTCCCTCATAAGCCTGCCCGAAGCTGCGTGGCGGTGAAGACACTGCCTAAGGATTCTGATGTCGAGATTGGGTGCGTAGCTCTCCCATAGATAGCTTCCTTAGGCAGGATTTATTGGGCCAAAACACAGAGAGAGGGCTTTCAAGTTAGCTTTATAGTTAAATACCAATGCTATATAGACATGATAGGTTTCCGGTTTGCAGTGACATATGTGTTTCTTTGAGACCGCACTTTGCAGTGCCTTTGTTGAATGCCTGCCATGCTGTACCGGCTACTGGAAGGAAACGGTAAACTCTGGCTGTATATATTTGAAACAGGTGTCTTGCAGGTATAAGCTTGGCTCTTCTGGCCAAGCACCAGTCGGTGTCTCTTCATAAGTTCTCTATCTATTTCCTCTCCCTAATTGTGTATGGAACAGAGGTCCTTTCCCCGCACAGCGAACTCTTCGGACCGGAGTAAGAGTCGAGCCACCGCGGTCACTAACTCGCTAGCGATACAGGGTGATAAGTAACGCTACAAAATGGGCAAAAAAAAAAAAGTGTCCGCGCGCGGAGGCTAGGGTAGAGATGAGGCTAAGGAGCGAGCTCCAATACGACGACATATGGGTCTGATAAGGAAAATGAGCGACTGTCTCGGTCCTCTGGCTATCTCAACCTGGTTCCGCCCTGATAAGCTCGAGTCTTTGCGGGGCCCCGCAAAATGGTGCCCTGTCGTGGTTCAGCCGTCAGCTAGGAACGGATATAGGGTGTTCGTTGTTATATAAGTGTCAACTCTGTGTTCCCGAACCATCCTCACTCACCTGGCCACCTCTATATACACTTCAACAGCTTTAAGAGTCGACCTCTTGAGCCTCTTTTACTTCCTGTATCATCCCTCTACTGTAAACAATTATCTTAGCTTATAGTCCACGGAAGCAAAGAACTATGGCCGACAAAGAAAGCAGCACGGAGTTCAAAACCGTCCAAGACACCTCAGACAATGACGGTGTGGCCCGATCAGTCGTCAATGGAGAGGTCAACCATGATAGCCTCGGCAAATGGACCCGTTACGGACTTACGATTGACTCGTTCCGAAAGATGCATTATGGCAAAGGTGTGGCTGAATTCGACCGGCGGATGAAACCACGACACCTTCAGATGATTGCAATTGGTGGATCCATCGGCTCAGGCTTCTTTGTTGGCTCAGGCTCGGCTCTCTACAAAGGCGTAAGTGTTATTAATTGATATCTCTGATCTTTGACGGACTTTTAAACTTTAGCGATCGATTGGAACACTGCCAGGCTAACAGTTGTATCAAGGGCCCTGCCTCACTCCTGCTAAATTTTATAATCACTGGAGTTATGATCTTCAATGTTGGTATGCTGAACCATGCAGTTCCTTCTCTGGTCTCATTCCCTTAAGCTCCTCCCGTAGGAGTTGCAAAACTATGCCATCATTACGCATCGACTAATCTGATACTCCAGTTCAAGCACTGGGCGAACTCGCCATCATGTATCCAATCTCGGGTGGACCATACACGTACGCCAGCCGATTCATCGATCCATCGTGGGGTTTCGCGTTGGGCTGGAACTACGTTCTCTCTAATACCTCGACCTTTGCACTCGAACTCACCGTCTGCGCCATCACGGTTCAGTACTGGGATACGCAGACAAGCCCTGGTGTCTGGATAGCTGTCTTTCTCGCCTTTGTCATCATTGTTAACATCTTTGGCGCAATTGGGTATGCCGAAGAGGAGTTCTGGGCCTCATTATTCAAGCTCGTGGCGGTCGTCATCTTCCTGGTGATTGCCATCATCCTCGTCTGCGGTGGCGGCCCTAGTGGAGGTCGGTATGACCACTACTGGGGTGCTCGGTTATGGTATGAATCCCCTGGCGCTTTTAAGAATGGCTTCAAGGGCTTCTGCTCTGTCTTTGTGACCGCTGCCTTCTCTTTCTCCGGCACCGAACTTGTTGGATTTGCTGTGGCCGAAGCGAAGAACCCCGCGCTCTCGATGCCCGGCGCCGTCAAACAAGTCTTTGGCGTATCACCATATTCTTCATTGTGGGCCTTCTCATGATCGGTCTTCTTATCCGTAGCGACGACCCCTCTCTTCTCTCCAATAGCTCCTACTCAAACTCTAAGACCTCACCTTTCGTCTTAATCCCCAGGTATGCGCATCTGTATGGCTTAGACCATGTCATGAATATTATCATTCTCATCTCGGTCTTGTCCATCGGTGTGGCGACAGTCTTTGGGGCCTCCCGGACCCTTACTGCTCTAGCTCAACAAGGGTATGCTCCCAAGATCTTCACGTACATTGATAAGAGCGGGAGGCCACTTACATCTACTACCATCGTCTTCTTCTTCTCCCTTATTGCGTTTATCAACCTGAACGACAAAGGCCCTGTTATCTTCGACTGGCTGCAGGCTATCAGTGGTCTGTCTACACTCTTCATGTGGGCTTCCATTTGCTTAGCTCATATCCGGTTTCGACAAGCATGGAAATACAATGGAGGGACGCTTGACGAACTCCCCTTCAGAGCCATGTTTGGAGTTGCAGGATCTTGGGTCGGCTTTATACTAGTAGTCGTCGCTCTTGTTGCACAGGTAGACTCTTCCCGTCTCTCTCTGCCTTCCCAAATTTTAATTACGCTGACCCCATGACTAGCTTTACACAGCCATCGCTGCGCCACCCGGACAGCCTGGTATCGGAACTGCCGAAGATTTCTTCAAGCAATACCTCGGACTACCAGTGCTTATTTTCTTTCTCACTTGCGGGATCGTCTGGAAACATCAAGGCCTCCTCACCGTTGCGAATATTGACGTGAACGCTGGCCGAGCAATTCACGATTGGGAGGAGATAAGGGCTTATAAGAGACGCGTTGCTTCCTTTCCTGCTTGGAAACGAATTATCTGGAAGTTGTTTATTTGAGACTATCCAAGGACGGGTCTTGTCACGATCAGCGTCCGAAACACGGAAGGTCGCGACTATTTCCCCACTAAGAATGGCCAGGTAGTCTGGGGTGAAGGCCTTGAGAGAAACAGTATTCAGAAGACAGACCTACTCATCTCGCATATCGGTGTAGAGATAACTGGGGATAGAGATCAAGGGAGAATATCCTATGAGCACATTACGTATTTTAGCATTCTTGGCTAATGCACATGGAAAACATAACAATGATCAGCCTTAAATAAGTCCCAGCAACTTAACTACGAGCGACCATGCAACAATAAGATACATGTAAGTAGAGCTGACCACGCGGCGGCCATCTTTGACGTATTACTGCTGCGTATATACGGCTGTTGTTGAAAATTGTTCCCTGTAACAGCCCGAGCGACAGCCTATATTCGCTGAGGAATATAAAGAGAAATATATTAAGTTTAATAAAGGGAAAGATATAAAAATAGAACCCAGCCTTATTTATAATTTATTAGAGAATAGAAAATAGTAAATAGCTAGATAAGTTTATATATTTATTTTAATAAAAGCTTAATAAAACTAATTATAAGTATTAATTAATTACTATTAGATAATTAAAAGATAACTAACTAACTAATAATAATATATCTAATAGTTTTAAATAATTATTTATTTTTAAATAATTTATTTAATAGAAAGATAAATCTTTTAATTATCTATTAGGAAAAGCATATTTAGAATTACTATTATATTATAAGCAGGTATCTCAGAGCCCTCTATAAAAGCAGCTGTCCTTAGCCAGCAGATAGAAGGAAGTCAAGCCTTAAGAATCATATTATCTCGCATACAAGTGAAGGTATCGTGAACCTAGGCTTCAACCACAAGCAATCCGTCCCTGGCTACCCTGTAGCCAACTTCAAATAACACATCTACGGCGCCAGCCTAGTTGCGGCCAGTCTAAGCGTAACAATTACTCCTAATTAGCTTATATAAGGGTCTACTTTATATAATTAATTAAAATCAAATTTCTATCTATCGCTAGCTAGTTATTAATTAACTACTATCACTTAGCAGTTTACTGAAAAGCAATGGCAGCTGCCTTCCTTGCAGCAAGCAATGTCCAAGGGGCCAGCCAACCTTGAGCCTAATCGGCCAACAACCAATTGTGCACTTGGGAATTGGCATTGAACGAACGCCAAATAGTGATTGGATGAGTGACTGGGGTCTCTGTGTAGTGGAGATTCTGTAGATGATCGTATACAATTAGATCAAGAGGGACGGAAGGAGAGTTTCATCGTGTCTTGCAGAGGGACTCGGCTGGTGTCGGGCCGAGCTGTGAAATTGCTTGTGGGCATGGCTGATCCTCAGGCCGAAAATTTGTTCGCCCTCGCCGAGACATGCAGGAGAAGTCATGACTGACCCAACCAGCACCCATGACCTGGTGGATGAGACGCTCGAGCAATTGCCGCTGGTGGGCGCCGCAGACGCAACCCTGTGGTTTGAGCATTACGAAGAGGCATCGCAAATCCATCTCTAAGCATGGCGGTCGCTGATATCGCGGATATGCTTGGGCCTATGAGGATTGGTGAATGGTAGCACGGTCACCTCGACCCAGGGCCGGATTGGGCTTCTCACGTCTCGACACAGCAGAAGCAAGAGGCTCTTCCCTGTGCCGAATTCCGACCTTAGCCAAGCGGGAGTGGAGCTTGGCCCCCTTCCTTTTGCAGCTTTCTCACACGACACTATTCCGAAGCTGGCAAATGCGATTCCTGCACTTTGCCTGCACCGTTCGGCCAAGAGGACAGGATTAGCCAATTTCCCATGGCTATGCCGGCCTTTTGCTTGTGATTCTGGCTGTGGATGGTTTGCTCGATGGTAGATGGGATGTCGAAGCTTGGGAGTGAGGGAGAGAGATGGGGAGGTGATACCGCCAGCTCATGTTACCATATGCCTCCTCCATCCCGTTGAACAGCTGACGCGGCAGCTGTGACCGACGATCCCTTCCCTTGATGCTGACCCGACCATCTCCCAGTCGACGGCGACACCGCGTTCGGTTTGCCAGCGACTGGCTGTCTCCATTGCCACCTCCCCGTCCTTGTTGGTTCCACTAAATTAGTAGGATTCTCAGCAGACGACAAACGGCCCTCCCCGTTCGTTATACCCTCCTCCGAACCAATTCTCCATACTCTTGGCTATCTCTCTCCGCACGTGCTCCATGTTACATGGCTGAACTCTGTCATTAAAAATCCCACGTGCTTCTCTTGGCTATCTTTGGGGCTAAGGTTGGATCTATAAAGTCACCTTCAGGCACCCTCCGCCCCTTGTGAAACTTACTCGCTCGTGTGAACCATAATTTGTGAAAGTTGAGCACAAGCCAACCAAGGTGCCCCGGTGACTGTACAATTGCATCTTCGACGACGCGCTTCGAAGCCACGCGACTGATTCATCATGTTTGACCTGCCATTCAAGAAGCGCTCCCAGGATGGGGACTCGAACGACGTCGAGGCCCCCGTCGTCCCTGAGCGTGCGCCCAAGCCCTTCTGGGAGGCCATTTTGCCCGTCTTCGCCTGCGGTGCTGGTCTGTTCTCCGACGGCTACATCAACAACGCAAGTCTCACACATTGGAAATCCACCAGTCGCACCGTCGTGGACGTGAAATGATACGCCGGGGAATGTCGTAGCTAACACTGCGCCTACAGGTCATTGGTTCCGTCAACACTGTCCTCGGTCGGCAGTATGGCGAGCTCTACAAGAACAATTCTGCCTCGCAGAATGTTTCTTCCATCGCGTTTGCGGGCACTGTCGTGGGCCAGCTTGCCTTCGGTTATCTGTCAGATGCCTGGTCCCGCAACAACGCCCTTGTTCTCTCCACCATCATCTTGATTATCTTCACCATCCTGGCCACTGGATCCTACTACAAGGGAGAGCCCGACGGCATGTTCGCCATGCTTACTGCCTGGCGATTCTTCGTCGGTATTGGTATCGGAGGTGAATATCCAGCTGGCAGTGTCGGTGCTGCCGAGTCCACTGGTGATCTGAAGAAGGGTTCCCGCAACAGATGGTTCATCCTGTTCACCAACTCCATGATTGATTGGGGCTTCGTCATTGGTGCTTTCGTCCCTTGTGAGTGAATACTGATGTGGTTATATTGTCGTAGAACTCTGTGACTAATTCGCTGTGGGTAGACGTTGTTGCCGCTGCTGCTCACAACACGCACTACGGGACAATCTGGAGAACCAGCTTGGGTATTGGAGCGGTCTTCCCTATCGTGCTTCTTGTTCTTCGTTTTAGACTCAAGGAGCCCGAGGAGTACAAGAAGGAGTCCATGAAGAAGGAGACTCCTTACCGCCTTGTCTTCCAGTTCTACGGGTTCCGTCTCTTCTGCATCAGCTTGATCTGGTTCCTCTATAACGTAGGTTCTCGTGTGTTTACCCAGAGTGCTTAAATGCTAATCAGCAGCTAGTTCTCGTCCTATGCTTTCGGTATCTACTCTTCTTCTATCCTGAGCGGTATCTACGGCGACGGTGCCCCCCTAACAACCGTTTTCGGCTGGAACACGGTCATCAACTTGTTCTACATCCCCGGTACTTTGATCGGTGCTTTCGTCAGTGACTGGCTCGGCCCCAAGCACACCCTCGCCACTGGTGTTTTTGCCCAGGCTATCATCGGCTTCATCATGGCCGGTGTCTATGTTCACATCACCAAGTCCATCGCTGCTTTCGCCATCGTCTTTGGAATCTTCCAGTCCCTCGGCGAGTTCGGCCCTGGCAATAACATTGGTCTCCTTGCTTCCAAGACCTGCGCAACCGGCGTCCGAGGCCGCTACTACGGTATCGCAGCTGCCACTGGCAAGATCGGCGCCTTCGTCGGAACCTGGGTCTTTCCTTACATCGTCAAGGCTGGAGGCGACAACGAGGTCACCTCAGCCCAGTACCCCTTCTGGGTCGCCTCCAGCCTGTGCGTCCTCTCCGCCGCCATCTGTCTGTTCCTCGTCCCCTACGTTGGGCAGGACACCATCGCCGAGGAGAACGCCCGCTTCCGCGCCTTCCTCGAGAGCAAGGGCTGGGACACCACCCAGCTTGGATACGAGTCGGCGGAGCCCGAGGCTGAGCCCGAGGTCATTGCCGTGGTCCCCAACAAGGAGGCCCAGTAGGATGATATGTCTACTAAATTGGTCCCAAAGTATCTTAATGATAATTTTCCACGGCTCATCTAGCACATCATAGCCTAAATATACCCCTGGGTTGATGACACCCTATCTCTCCCAATTGACCCAACCTTATACGTGTTTGAATGACAGCCCAAGGCAGCGTGCTCGCCCTGATTATGTGCCTGACGTGACATCGTCGGGAGCCCAATTTCGTGCATTTCTCTGACGCAGGTCCACGGGGGTCGCAACCGAGACTCGTCAGGTCTCAATTCTCGATTGCCACGTGTTGAAGCGGTATTGCGCGCAATTGTCCCGATCATTGTCATCCCCGGTGGGCGCTGCCACATGTTTGCCAGCTCAACTCAGGGGGCTAGAATTGAGAAAAGAAAGGAAAGAAGGGGGAGAAAACGTACAATTATTAATCTCGTGTTTGCTCGATTGCCCCGTGACCGGGCCTTCACGTAAGACAGCAATGCATTGAAAGCCTAAAATATTTTGCTATTAGTTGCACAGGCGCGCGCAAAAAAAACAATTGTGTAATCGCATGCTCCTCATCTTGTACTTCGTTGAAATAAAAATTGCAATCGTTCCTCTCACAATTTTTCTTCGTGCATTTTGCGTTGCCAAGTAATACGGATTGCTGTTGCTCTAGGTGCTGTCATACATACCAGCGACAAAGTTTAGAATCATGAGAGGTGAGAATTCACGAACCGTAATTGATTGCGCTTGGTATTAACCCTGTTATCTAGAGATCACATTCAGGATTGTGGGGGAGGATACCCTGAGGAGGAGGCTCGAGAACCTCTCGGCCCACAGAAGAGGACATTCCAGCTCAAGCATGGAGGAGCTGGAGTCGTATCTCATGATCTCCGGAAAGGACTATACGCCGTCGCTCCTCCGGGCCTACATCCTCAGCACGGCCCAGAGGATCATGATGATCAAACCTCACAACGAGGCCATTGAGGAAGACCCCACCTTTCAGGTCGACCCGGATATATTTCTCGCCTTCTTCCCTGACCAGAGGGTGGGAAGGCAGCAGCTGAGGAAGCTGCAGGAGAAAGAACGAAAGGACATGGCCAGGTTTGAAAAAGAACAAAGATTTTCGAGGGCCCTAGGGCTTTCCTAGCCTTCTTGAATTTAACTTGGCGGAGAGGATTTATGATATCGCCTCGACAAGAAAGGCCAGCTGGTCTTAGATGATTGCTGCTATCCGCTGTTCGGCAATCGCAATCGCCAAGAAAGAAAGAAAAAGGGAAAAGGAAAAGGAAAACAGAATACAGCAACAACGAGTGACAAACAGTCACGTTGAGCTCGCGCATTTCGACAGAAGGAAAGATGTTCACAGGGTTAAACGGTTTGATTTATCGTCGGATTGAAATGCATGTACTATCAACACAAATTTCGGGCTTATTGTGCCCACAGTTTTGTTACCTAGGAATGTTAATGGAAGTCTTTAGTTAGAAAGCATGGAATTCTGAATTGTATCAAGAGCCTTCTTTGTGACAGAGCCAATCCAGCTTCTGAAGTTCTAACACTAATCGCAAATTTCATTTTGCCATTGAAGAGAGCAAAGCAAATCAAGCTATATATGTAGAGCTGAACATTATTTTTAAATTATTCCCCTTTTTTTTAACCTACCAATCATGCCTGGCTAGTAGGCACTCTTGACTTCAGCATATAGTCAACTTTTTATCCTAGCTGGGCCCTCCGAGCTTCATCAAGGCACTATGACAGAGAACCGCCGTTTCACGGTCCTACACTACCCTCATGGCTTACAATAGATGGGAATATATTGCGGGCCATAATGCGGATGTACAGTTGGATACTTATCATAGGCCCGGGCACGTACAAGGGGTGCGTCTGTCCTTCGTAGCAAAAAAAGCACCCCTTGTACATGCCCGGGCCTACCTCCCGCTACGACTCTTCATTCGTCTCACAGGGCCTTTCATGTTGATATTTTTGAGAACAATTGAATCCTCAATGGATGCCTCTAAGTATTATTTCTTAGAAGTATTATTTCTTAGCAGTGGTAGAAGAGCGAGACTCGATAGCGCAGCCGCAATCACCGTGTCATTGTGACAACTCCATCAATTGGATAATGAGAACAAGGTAAAGATCCCCTGGACTGGACTACTGCAACGGCGGGTGCCATTTCCAAATTCCTACTGTCTTGGAATCTTGTCAAACATGCCATTTCTCCATGCTGAATCATCTACGTCACTTCCCCCATAAGCCCCTTCGCCACCGGTGCAATTATGAACCAAGTCTCAGATGACGTTGCTTGTACTCTCTGAAATCAAGATGGCGTCCCCGGGGTTAGTGGCGAAAACATCTTCGTCATTAGAAACGTAGAAAGCCAGCATGCGGTTGGCATGGAGCCGATTGATAGGTATTACCGAATGGATTGACGGCCGTACATGATAGCATATCTTGATTTTGTGTTTCTTGAAAATACCAAGATAGAAGGACAGTCAAGGTCATTATAAGGTCCAAAGCTACGGCGACACGTCTTCAAGACCGTGAGCTGAAGCTTACAGCATCGGTAGAGATCTGTCGCCCTTGAACCATGATACTTGCCGACTAGTGTCATGTTAGTTCCCGAGGAATGAAACCGAACTTCGGACGAACTACAAAGAAGGAGCTGCGACATTGTTACAGATCATGTAGTCCGGAGTTCGGACCTTTCAAGGGACAGCTATGCCGTTGAGATGCCACGCATTGAAGAACATTCATCCCTGCATTGTCATAAAATGTGAAACATGCTGCCGTCCCGGGCTTGTTCTCCAGTAATTATTGCCAAATCGGAATATTGCCTGCCAATGATGCATCAAGCAAGGGACTAGATTCCATAGAGGCTATGAAACGAGTCAAGACTTGCCGTGGACTCCGCGTCATGTCGATAGCCGGGCATCTGCACTCTTCGTGCGGATCATCAATGATGCACTTTCTTACGTATGCATTCGATACAATTACCTAACCGGTAGTTGACGAGTTGCCATGGAAGCGTCAATGTTCAAGCTATATAAACGCTCTCTGCCTCCCAGCTTGGAGGACACAAACTCTCTTCAATCTCACTCATCAGCTCATCAATTCATTCGGATTCTACATCTTTCTAAATAACATTTTACTCCGCCAACATGTTCGCCAAGTATCCCATCATTCTTCTCGCCTGCGTCGCGAGTGTCCTTGCCGCACCCGCCACTGAGGCTGGTCAGGTTGCCAGCGATCAGACGCCAGCTGGTGTCGACAACATTCTCGACCAGCGTAACGAGGTCAGGGGCTGCAGAAACAACGGCGACCGTATGTGCAAAGTCTATGTTCCTTCATAAGGCCAAACTAATCATTTCAACAGATTGCAAGTTCGACTTCGAATGTTGCAACCGCCATTGTGGGTGGACGGCTGGCTTCAAATGTAATTAAGAGCCTGGCATCAATGGGACCGGCAAACTACATGAAGCGACTTGTGGACTGGAATAACTCGGGAAAATTCTGCAACATTTAGATTTGGAACTGGTTTGGCAATATATACGTTCTTTCAACGTCCCTTCAGACTCTATGTCGGCTTCAAAACTACAATGGAACGGAGGATATTTCATGAAGAAGTAGACAGGGTGTGATGCTTTGTATTGAAATACAATATATGACCGAGGTTATTCGTCTTCTTCACTCCATACAGATACATGGTACCCTTTCAACGAATTTCGTTGGGCTTGCAGCGTATGAAACTCGGCCCACAGAAGCTTGGCTATTGTAGTTTTTAGCCCCTGATGCTAGGTACGGGCATGCAAATAAATTTTCAACAACTGGGCGTTTTCTAATGATCACGATGCTCACCATTGTTCTATCGAAGTAGGTATATACATATCTCAAAGGAGATTGTCGATAGTAAGTTTGCCTACCTATGAAATGTTCGATTCACAAGCATGAAGAGGTGAAAAGATTCTTGTAACGCTGGATGGCCTGTCATAGGCTTCTGGACAAAGTCAAAGGCTTCCAAATTCAGACCGGCCCTGATCTCTCTCTTTTTGTCAATATCTGGTTCTCCCTGGATTGGTCAAGAAGGGGCTGGCGCAAGGGGCTGACGTTGATGCCGTTGTTCCGGGTACTGCTGTTAGCCCAACGATCTACAGGCGGCGTTTAGATGCCGACTTCGCCGATTATATGCTCCCGGCGCTATTCCATAAACGACAAATCCATTCGAGCTCGTTCTCGTTCCCAACAAAGGATCCACTGCATAAACGACAACCCTATCAAGTTTGCTCTCGCCACCCTGTAATATCCATCCCTCACAAAGTTTGATGGAGGTGGCTCGTCATCCTTGATTGAACCACTTCAATTACCTCTCTATTGTAGTAAAAGTACAACCATGCTGGATAGCGAAGGAACAAAACAAAGATGCTTCTGGCGGCGATAGAAGTTGTCAACTCAGTTTAAGGTCAATTGAGCATTTCCTTACGTCAGGATCTTTCTACAGCCGGATTAGCCTATGGCTGTGTTCTGATTTCCTTGTAGTTTAAGGTTGGGCTGAGGTGCCGCGCGGGCCGGAGATGATGATGCACGTTGACTCCCAGACATGTCAGCCATACGTACAACTCCACCAAAATCGTCTCTTATAGCCATATCTAGATTAGTGACACATCAGCTACCCATGGTTCCCGGCCTGTCATGTCTAGAATAGGTAATCCATCAGCTATGGGAGGGCAGAAGCGGGCTGTGAGGCTGGTAGTACAGCGAATAGGGCGGAGAAAGGCCATCCTCGCGAACGAGAACGATCAAAATAAGTATAAATAGTAGGGTTCGTTCTCCTTCTAATAGCGTGGAAACCAGTTCTTCAAGCTTCACCATCAGACCATCAGCCTCTCCAAACCTACCATTTTAATATTATTGCGATGCGCATCACAAACACTTTCTTCGTTCTCGGTGCTGCCTATGTGGTGAGTCCTACTTCATCCCCTCGTATGATTCTATCCATATTTATGAGCACATGTATCTAATAATTGTGTAGCTTGGGCAGCAACAAGAGGACTCGTCAAGCATCATCTACCAACTGAGCAGCGACCCAGAATTCGCATTCCTTTTAGAAGAATACATGAGTCTTTCCAACGGTGGAGGAGCGAATACCGGAGAAGGTATGTCTCTACCCAACTCACGCTTCTAGAACTATCACTCCTACCTAGTGGCATAAATAATTGTGACTTTGGAACTGATAGGGTCTCTAGTTCTTCGACTTGCTAGCCAAATTACCGCTGGAGACTTCGAAAGTTGGTACTCTGAGTTTAAATACATGGCCGATTCTCTGCATAAGAAGGCAGACGCCATCGACAAGAAGCGTTTCCCTGTTTCTGCCCGTGATGCCTATTTCCGCTCTGCCAGCTACTATCGGGGCGCCGACTTTTTCCTCCACAGCAACCAGAGTGATCCTCGTATTTTCAGCCTCTGGGACTCGGCCCTGGCCGATTTCGACACGGCCACTAGCCTCCTACCGAGTCCGCCCTTTAGGAAGAATCTGACTGGCGACGGTTTCGACATCCCGATTATGTTTTTCCCTGCCGCAACTGTTGGCCATGGGAATCACAATGCATCTCGGCCCCAGGAGAGGATCCCTACCGTTATCGTAGGCAGCGGGTATGATGGCTCGCAGGAGGCTCTCTACCATTCAATCGGACGCGCCATCACTGAGCGTGGTTGGAATTATGTGAGCTACGAGGGACCAGGTCAACCGACTGTGCGGCGGCAGCAGAAGATTGGCTTCATCCCGAACTGGTGGGACGTCGTCACCCCGATCGTTGATTACTTGGAAAGTCGCCCAGATGTCGATGCTCAAAAGATTGCTCTCATCGGCGAGTCATTCGGCGGAACTCTTGCGCCAATGGCAGCATCGAGGGAGCACCGCATCTCGGCAGTGCTGGCCATCGATGGCCTAATGAGCCTTTTCAAGGCCCTGACTTCTCAACTTCCAGACGCGCTGAACAACCTCTTTGCCAGCGGAAACTCGGAGGTATTTGACGAGACCATGCTTGGCATAATGAACAACGCTACCGTGCCAACACAGTTTAGATGGGTCATTGCGCAAGGGTTGTGGTCCTTCAACACTACAAGTCCATTTGAGTGGTTCACCCGTTTGAGCAAAATCGCGCTTGACGAAGAAATAGTGGCAAACATCACTTGCCCTACTTTCGTCGGGGATGGTGAACATGATACTCTGGCAGGATCAGGCCAGCCGCAGGAGCTGGCCGCAGCTCTGGGTAGCTTGGCCACTTATAATCAGTTCAAGCAAGACTTAGGTGCCGGGGAACACTGCCAGATTGGCACTGAGGCTCAATTGGCTCAAGTATCTTTGGATTGGCTGGGAGATGTTTGGGATGGGATGAAACTGCCCAACAATATCACGGGTGGTGCATATTAAGCTACTCAGAACTTTTGCGATACACGCCCAGGCTGAATGAAAGACACGGATATACAATCGGGAACTTCCAATGCATGAGCGTCAACAAATGGTTTGGGTCAATCAAATTCAAAACTTTTTGTATTTCTTGGGCTTGTATTGGAACTCAGGGTCAGACAAAAAGTCTAGGACCTTTTTCCAATCCCAATAAATACGTACGTTGTGACTTATTGTACTATATCTCTTTCACTAAATCTAGCCAACGTAGCCATTTAACTCAATCAAAAATGGGAGAAATGTATTAGGTAGCGATGCTCGTCTGGTGTCATCGAGATGAAAAGTACAGCATAGTTATGGCTCACCCTTCGAAAAATGATATGTTGTGTGTACGGTGTCTACTGCTATAATTTCAGTCCCTTGGAATGTATGTGGTGACCAATGAATCCCAGTCCCCTGAACCTCTTGAAAGTGCTTCCTCTCACTGTTGATAATCGACTGCATCGTCAATATTTGCCTATCGTCCAAGATCTCCACCTGCTCTCGACATCTTTTGCACTTAGATTGGGCTGTTAGCTGAGAGAAGGGGGATTATTGCATAACAACAACACAACGCACATCAACACAACATACAACAACCAGAGATTGAACATGTACACATTATTGACCCAAATAAACACTCATTATCAGCTGTATTCGTTTGGATCCAACAATATCGGTCTTACATCTCATATCAAGTCACAAGTGGTGGGTAGCAAAGAGACTTGTGGTAGGTGTCGAATGGGCCCCTATTATTATCATTAACTACAACTCTTCAATCCTCCTCCCCATCTCCTCTACTTCATCGGGCCAGGGGTCATCAGTCCCCTTGGGCCTCCACGGCTCGAACAATGGTGTCTGAGCATTAAGCCCCTGGGCTCTTGGCTCTGGTTGCTAGGCATTTGGCTGCGGTTGTTGGGCGGGTGCCTGAGGCTTCTGGGTGTGACTGAGGCTGTTGGGCTTCCCTGAGGTTTCTGGGCTTCCCTGAAGTCGCTGGACTTGGTGGTACTTAGGTTGTTGGGTTTGGTGATACTGAGGCTGTTGGGCTTCCCTTTCCCTGGGGTTGCTGGACTTGGTAGTACTGAGGTTGTTGGGTTTGGTGATACTGAGCTTGCTGGGCTTGTCTGAGGTTGCTGGGCGCGGCTTTAGCTGCTGTATATATAGCTGCAGCTGCTGGGTATATACCTGAGGCTTCTAGGGGTGCCTGAGGCTGCTGCGTGCCCCTAGGGCTGCTGCGTGTATGGCTGCGGGTGCTGTGCGTGGCTGCTGGGTCTGGAATTGAAGCTGCTTGGCTTGGTGGAACTGAGACTGCTGGTCTTGGTGGAACTGAGTCTGCTGGGCTTGGTAGAACTGAGGTCGCTGGTCTTGGGGGAACTGAGGTTCCTTCCTGGTCGTGGACCTGAGGCTCCTGGGCATATGGCTGCTGGGAGTATCGCTGCTGGGCGTTTGGCTGCGGCTGTTGGGCTTGGTCCTGGTTGCTGGGCTTGGTCCTGGCTGCTGGGCGTGGAACTCAGGCACCTGGGCGTGGAACTGAGGCTGGGCCTGGTGGTACTGAGGTTGCTAGTCTTGGGCCTCCCCGGCCCACCAGCACTCCCGGGCAAAGTGCCCTTTCTTCCCACACTAATTGATATTTGGTGAGAAAAATGGTTGCCAAGAGCTTGGTAAGTGAGTAGGTACATACGATGGAGCAGCGCACTGAGCGTCGCAAACTGACCGAATCCCTCGGCCAAATTTTGGTAGTTGTTCTAATATCAAGATTAGTTTTCTCTTCATAGTAGTATTATTTAGGATAAGAGCATACTCTACCATGGCCGTGGCCCCCACGGCCACCTCGACCCGATCGGTAGTTCATTCTAATATAGTCAGAATATACGTACTTGATAATAAGGTGTCTTGATCCAGGTACTTACTGTATAGAGATAGATTGTCGTGGACCCGCCAGGTGGGGATGGAGAGAGATTGTCATCGATCGAAGGATAGAAAGGGAGTCGCGAGCCTCGCGGGTCTCTCTATTGGAGGGTAGAGAGAGGATTATGAGAAAGAAGGAAGAAAGAAGAAGAAGAAATTCAAAGAACTTCGGGGTGCTTTAAGTAGAGGTACGTACCGATGTCTGCCTCAGGTATCCGTCTGGTATCTTCTGGTGAGGTCGGTGTGACCCTGGCGTACCTGCCTACCTAGGTACCTAGTCAAGCAACTGTGGTTTTACGCAAAGCAAAAGCAAAAAATTATAAAGCAACCGATGTAATGATGATTGAAGGAAAAAGCTAACTGTCTGACTTCTGTGAAGGAAGGTTGGATTTACTTGCTAAGGATATCTTCATAAAACATTAACACAATATCAAAATAATTAATCTATTAAGAGGTAAATACAATATCAAATTTTAGAATAATTTCCCATTCTCTTATTATTGTGTTTAATTTAAAACAAGATCCCTGCCTTATGTGAAAAGAGCTTTGGTGTGCACTCGTCGCTAGGTACTTTCTATCAGAAGATGCTCATTTTTCAATTTGTTTTCGGCACCATTATAAACAGGAGCCTTGAGGAAAAAGCATTTTTTAGGTTAGGGACTGTCAATACCCATCGCAGTGTTTTTCCGAATCCTACATTCTACTGATATTTCCAGCACTGAACACTAACGAAGGCTCATTCGAGTTTCTGTAGCTTCGAGCATGAGAACGACAACGAAGCACACTCCCGAAAAGCTGAAGGCATGATCAATAGTATTTTCTAAACAAAATTATCAGGAGGAGAGCCGTAAGAACTGTAGCTGAGTAGGTAGGGCTAAGCCGAGAGCACTATGTTACCATATCACGTAGGTCTTTCTAAGAGGCACAAAGAACATCAGGGAGCCATCTTTAGCTGGCCGCTCACGGTAGTATTTGACGTTTTATCCTGAGCGATTATAGGTGCTTGCTGAAGAAGTCACCAACTTGGCTATACCCTCGCTTGTACTCGTTTAGGTTATCCTCATTTTCGAGGTTTGCTCGTGCGCCCATCCACCCATGAAACATGGTCGGGTAGGTCTCTACGATGCCGGTTTTGCCAGGCCGAGAAAGTACCTCTTTAACCTCTGCTACGATATCAGCAGGCTCGCCTGGCGAGGCAAGGAGAATGTGAGGCACGTTTGTAGCTTCCGCATCTTTGGTGTCCAAACCGCTGTATTCAATAATTAGTTACTCATTCAATTTGAAGTCCTCGATCGGCTTAGATGACGGATAGCGAGAGAGGAATAGTCGTACCCTGGATGAGCTGTTCCGCTCACTTTGAACTTGCGGCCCTTGCCCTCGTTGGCCTCCCCACATGCCAGAATGGCAATTTTGCCCTATCAAAATATATGAGAATGATTGCATTGAGAATCCCGAGTATGTTGATTGTTAGTGAACTTACACCCCAGCAAAGACCAAAAATTCCAATGTGATCCTCAATGGAAGGCCACTTGTGGCCAATTGCCTTACGAATTTTGACCATCTTATCAATGTTGGAAGTAATGTCGGCGGAGTTAGACATGAACTCCTGGAGAAGGGCTTTCTTTTCGGGCGTATCAGGGGGGATTGCCCCTTTGTCAAGTGATTTTCCTTCAAATAGGTCCGGGACCAAGACAAGTGCCGAGGCGTGTGCGGCCAATCGATCTGCGCCCTGGATCGTCTGAGATGCAACCCCAAAGATGTCATAGATGTCAATAATGGCTTTGTCTGCATCCTCAGATCCAACAATATCTGTGATTTGGTAAGCATGTGTCAAGATTGGGCGACTAGACGCGGCAACGAACAAGTGTTTATCCCAGCAATTGTCTCCCATCTGCCCTTGCCATTGTAGTCGGCAGTCACCGGGGCAAGCTCGCAGCATGCCTTGCTAGCCATTTTCGATGTGGTAGAAAGGTGAAGAGAATAAAAGAGGTGTTTTGCTCTAGGTTGGAGATGAATTGATGTCTTGTCAGAGGGGGGACTACAGGTTAAAATATCTGTAGAATTATGCGTACGTCATGGTTTAGGTACCAAGACGGAATTAAAACAGTAGCAAACGGACGGATTTTAGTTCTTGATCAGAAATGTTAGTTATGAACGGCCAATAACGAGGGCTTATCATGGTGGAATCCAGCAACAAAAGTTGATATCGGCACCGATTCGGCAAAGCAGGTTAGTCCCTAACGACATTTCAACCACCTGCTAAAGTTTCAATGATGAAGCTAAGGGGTAATCCTCCTCCTTTGGTCTTTGGGTTTGTACATTCGATTGGGATAGATTAATGACATTGGTTTGAGAGCTATGAAATGAGAAAAATCAAATTGCGATGCTCTGGCCTTTATTTTGGTGCTTTTCTTTGTACAGTGACTAGACTAAGTCTTACGTTCGGTTCAGCTGATAGAAGAATTGTAGGGAATACTTTTCATTGGTGCAGTTATTGAATTTGTGCCAGGATTCAAGACATGCTGAATTTTCTCAGATAGAGATCTTTCGTGCTGATCACAACAAGTTCCAGGAAGGGCTGGGGTCGAAGAAGTCACCCAGGAATTCCTCTAGCGAAAGTTCACCTTGTTGGTGTTCTTGTGGATAATTGTAAGAGGGAGTTTCCAGTGCAAAGCCCTGCCCTGGCTCATCTTGATCCTCAACAACAGGGTGTACAAACGTCGTCGCCACCCTTATCATATCGCTGGATGATTGTGCGTCATCTTGGTCTGCGACTGACATGGGCGAACCGCTTTGGATTTGACACATGATGGTTGGATCAAGAATTCTCCAAATCTTTAGAGGTTGAAAGATGACCTGTGCCCGATCGTTTGGGTTATCATGTTTCTTATTCTCAGCGATGACTTGAAGTTCCCTGAGTTGTTCTAGCTAGGTTTTGTATAAGAAGTTAGGGTATTGAAGCTTTCGGTCTACAGAGTGAGAGAAACAGTGAATAAACCTACCGCGCAAAGTAAGTGCGGCCACGTCATGGACAGTTGACTCAAATGGCTTTCCAGTACGTTCATGTTTTCAACCGCGGTTTTAGACACGCTTTCATCTCGAGCAAATTGAAAAAACCAAATGATAGTAGCCACGCTGACAAGAATCTGGCCGATGAAGGGGTCGTAAATCACGAAACCCAGCGCTTGGCATGAAGATAGGAGACGAACCACCCATCCAGTATGATACAAGGCTTGCTCAACTGTATGTTGAAGAAATAGGCGAGGCCGGATATTGGTTTTAAACCCCATCAAGTGGATAAGTGGATGGTTCAGCACTGCCAGCGAGGCATGAGACAGGAACTGCATTAGTAACCACGGGGTCCAAAACTCGCGATCCTTCTCGAGCTCAGCAAGAGATCTATCGCAAAAACCCATATTCCGAAAGAAATACCTCGGGTCAAGGCGAGCTTCGAACTCAAACAAGTCCGCCATGACTTTGTGGAAAGCTGACTCCGGCACCCAAGGGTCTTCCTTCTTGCCCGATCTAATTCCATGCAGATATTGAGACATATCGCCCCACAGAGACAACGCTCTGAGGCAATACGCATTGATACCGGCATCTTTCTTGCTGGCTGCGTCGCTATAGGTGAGGTCCTGTGAGTAGTTTCTGCTACAATCAACAGGCGCTGGCTGTGGAGCGCTGGGGGGATACTCCGGTGTGCGTATCGTTTGGTTTAATATGGTGTACTGAGCACTGAACGTCTTTTCCAGAATGAACGCACTCCAATAGCATCTAAGGCTATTTTCGTCCTCTTGAATCCGTCCATATGAGTTCTGCAGGCTTAATCTCCGAAAGGTCTCGAGTCTAGTCAAAGAAGAGATATTGATCCAAGCCCTTGGCTGCTTGGCTAATATCGATTAGCCCTTGATTTATTTTTGGAGCCTTGTATACAAAGTTCTTGTTATCTTCATGGGTTCTTACCAATGATATCACATAGGGAAAGGCAACACAATGTTTGCAAAACTTGTGTAGAAGTGACTCCTTTGTCAACTTCTTCGTTGACGGCTTTCTGGGAGTTCTGGCGGTAGTACTCGATTGCTTCTTTTGGTCGTGTGAAATAGTCATGACTTGTATAGTGAAGACACAAAGCGACGAAGCTCCATAGAAGATATTCAGGCGATTCGTCTAGCTCATTCTGTAGAGTCTGTAGACAGAATAAAGGAAGTGGTTGGAAATATATTTTGGCTTTGTATACCGCAATAAAATGGTTGATAATATCTGATGTAAGGATCGGGGATTCGTTTGACCTAATTCGTTTAGTATCTGATATGAGGACAAATCAAAATTTAGGAGATGCGAAAATCTAACCATTCAATAGTTTCTTGTGGGTTAAATGAGGTCTCATTATCATCGGAGGTAGGGCTATCGAGAGATATGTTTCCTTGTGTTGGTCGTTGCGACTGGGGGCCGTCAAGCATTTGACCTTGCTCCGCAAGAAGGTCGGGGGAAACGTCACTCCGGCTAGGGTTTGATTGAAGCAGCTTATATAGACTCGCAACTTGCGATTCGAGAGTACGAACCCTCTCCTCAGAGGATGTCCTGATAAAATATTAGCAAAAATGCCACCTTCAGAACATCCTGTTGAGTTCATCTGCGCTACTAATTACTTACCCCTGAGAGAATTTCCGATAAGAGAATCTTGTCCTTGTTTCACGTTCGCGATAAAAGCAGACTTGGCCTAATCGTTTGCAAAATGAACACTCGGGTCGCTCCCCAGGGCACCGGGTCTTCTTCTGGCTGAATAGAGTGTGTTGGCTGTTAGCACATGTTCCTCCTGCTGTCAACTAGGCAGAACCTCCATACCGGCATCTCTCACAGGCTTGTCTCAACTTCCGTTCCCCAGAATATCGGTCTACCGACGGCTCCATAGCTACCGGGGATGAGAAATGACAAAAAATCGCGAGCGCTTGGAGGACGGAGATGACGGAGTGTTTTGGCTCCGGCCTAAGCAAAGCGGATAAGATAAGCGGGGACGGAAGAGTTGTAATTGTTTCCGGGTCACGTGGTTAGCCTAGAGAAACTACACAGCTGAATTCGAAGAAACAATACGCGTTGCCAGTGAAGTTAATGATGATCATCTTTTTGATGACCTCTTACCTTAATCCCGGTTAATTCGGGGGGGTTACTTGGTTGGGATTTGATCCTAAGATGTTGAAGACATGGCTCTGACTTGGACGCTGCACTTCACCCGAATGTATCAGCTGTGGCAAATCTTCTCAAAACAGTAGAATTTCGAATGGCTCAGCTATAATCCGTCGGTAGTACAAATGTTCCGAAGCCAAAATGGGTGCGGGTTACATCTATCGCAAATGACTGTAGTATCAAAAAGGCAGATGCCAGACCCTAGAACATTAGTGTTATCGACGGCATGGTTTAACAAAGCTGGATTGTGAGATATTATTCTGCAGTTGGGGCTCTTGATTTTGTTGAGTCGGTTGAGGCTGCTTGTTGAACAACTCGAAGTGATTCGGAAACCAACACTGACTTCCGATATCTGGCAGAGTCTTCTCGTCTCATTAGGTCATAGGCAGCAATATACTGATTTGAAGTTGAATTCAACTATGATAGTATGATTGATAAGAGGGAAGCTGAAATAAAAGTTGTTTACTTACTGGCTAGCTACATTTTGTCCTCTGGGCACAAGTAAGGAGGGCAAGGCAAGCCGAGGGCATGGCCAGCTCTCGTCATGAATGCTAAGGAGGGTGCGGTGATGATCAAACCATTGTAATCTACATTCGGCTAGACACATCCTGATAACCGCTGAGATATCTCACTTCTATTTGGGCATCTCAGACGTATGATACGCCCAAAGTTCTTCATGTTTGTAAAATATATGGGTTGTCTCTGTCTCTTTCTGTAACCGCAGACCAAGCACAAGTTATATGTAAGTGATATTATTCTGAACACTGTAGTTATTGATCTGCACGCGTTCCGTTGCATAGACTTTACGGCGGATGAGTTGGATCTAGGGTAGGTGAAGCCTTCGCATGGCTCGAGGAGGACAGAGAAGTGTCGAAGAGGATATCGACTGAACAGTATCTGTCCAAGTTCGTGGAATGGATCTCGTAAGAGTAGGCTGTAAGTCTCTATAAGCAAAGGTGTTAGCTCAAATATATCACTAGTACACAAAGCTTTGAATAGGATAGATTGGCAACCTCCTCATCCCAAGAAGCCCGTGTCTACTTACTTGCACTCCCACGGCAAACATCCTGGAACCTGTATGCCTAGGAGAGGTCCAAAGTAGGTTTTCAAGGTTAAGAAATGAATACAAACGAAACACAATCTCAGAAATTCAAACTAGGAGCATTTGAACACCATGAAAAACCAGCAATGGTCTTTCGTGGGCGAGGACACGGAACATCTAGATGATCTGACAACCGGGAGCTTAAATATGTAGAGTAGGAGGCATGGAACCAGGAACAAGAATATATAAAATTGTGGGCGAGTAAAGGTAAACGATTTCGCATGAATTTCGTCTAGCAAAGTCGGGATTGCTGATGTTAGATCCAACAGCTCGGATCAGACGTGGCAAACAGCCTTACTTAATTTGAAAGTATTGACTAAACTCTGAGAATCTCTGCCACGTAGTCTTAGAGTTAGCCGAGGTTGGGTTTCAAATTTGGCTCATCACCTCAACATGTAGACATGAAAGCTTGGCGAAGGACCCACGCGAATCTACCTGCCCATGATAAAGAACGAGATGGATGAACTCCATCATGAACGATTTTATTTTGCAAATAACATGAGAGACAATACGCATCAAAGCTACTCCTCATGACCAAGATGTTGTGAGTTGCTGTGAGCCCGAAATATCGGGCTAAATCAGCGAGTCATTTCCCGTAGTGTATGATCTCAGCCTCCTGGTTTGCCCACCCTCAGGATCGTTGCCTCGGTTAACGGTTTCATTTCCATGCCGTCAACTTGCTTAGCCGAAGTCAAACGCTGTGACGCCCACGTTTGTGCGAGGGCGGTTGTGACAAGACCGGACTTATGGCGGTTTTGACAGGATATAGCGTCTTCGGGATCACCGCTGCATATCGTGTACTCTACCCCGTATTTCCATGTTTCTGGGGTAAGGTTTCAGCTCATTTCTGGGGCCCATCTTCCTACCCTATTGTCGGAACGGGTGGCATTGATAGCCACATGGCGGTCTGGAATCTTCAGGCCATCCGAAGTGAGCGTCAGTGGGGAGACAAGAATCGATAGTCTATCTGATATCACATCGCCGTGGAATTGGTTGCCGTGTGATCATACGTTATTTTATGTCTAGATATCAATAACCTGATAGATGTCGTGATTTATCTTGGAGCCAAGCGCTGGTATGGAAGGGGCCTCGGCAGGCCTTCTTGGCTGGTAATATGCGGAATCACATGAATTCCCATAAGAGGGAAGAGAAAAGGATGGGAAACTGGTTCATACTATACTCGACATCATTTCCATTATTACGAAAGTGGAAACAGGCAGTAAGAGTCATCAAATCGAACCACTTCTGCAAAACTATCGGATGACGAACGAGTGGCAAGCCTCGTTCGAACGAGAGAAGAAGGCACAGATCTTGCAACGGTTACGCTCCCACGGCTAGAAGGGAGTCCGGCTAACGGACAACAGGGAAATCAGACCAGATTGCCGTGAAATGGGGGTAAAAAGGGCATACGACTACCCGAATGAAGGATGCGAGGGGGCATTCTCTGAATCATTAAGGTAGGGGTTTCTGTGGACTTGGCTGCGTATACCAGAAACGAGCGGGATTGTTGGAGTACATACGTTGGGGTTCGGGAGTGTGACACCCTCCTCTCTTACTTCTCTTACTGCCCGCGCGCCCAGCAATTGATGTAACAAGGGGGCCTAGTCAGTTGGGGTGCTGGTTAGCCAAATTCATGCCGGTCCATGGAGCACTCTATCTTTTTTTTGCATTTCGTTCTACTGCTCACTAATGGGGAGGAGGCGGCCCAAATACGTACGTGGAACCAACTTATTTGCTGGACTATACCGGAATGCTCGTAGCTGAAAAGCTGTGCGACAAAATAAAGCTGGGCTAGATTGGCATTATTCCCATTCGACGGCGGGGGAAATCAAGAGGCGTCCAGAGCATCTCGCCATCTAGCCCCCACAGGTTCCCTGACGGCGCGTTGTATCCTGGGTAAACAATTCCTTCTTTCTTTCTTCTTTTTGGAGAAGCTGTTGCATCTGTAGCTCCTCACGAGGTGCCTGGCTTCTATTCTGGGGTTCCCCATGCCCTCCGCGGCCAACATACCTACCCTTGAGGTGCGCACTAAGCATATCATGGGATCACAGACATTCAAACTTAATGCAGGTACACGAGGGACATGTCGCGAAAGGCCAAGAAGGATGGCAGTCGGTAGAGACATGTCTTGTCCTCCATCGGCCACAAAGGCCTGCTGCCTTACCTGAGCTCGCCCTGCGCAACACCCCGAGGGCGGTCTGTACGCTGAAGTGCTTTCAGGCAGGTCTGAGGGCTTGCGTAAGGAAATTCGTGATTGGCTGGGGGCCACCCACCTACCTATTCCTCCTCTGTCACACTCACACGCCCCTCCTCTACCCTCGACCACCCCGGCCTCAAGTGCAAGGGGGAAAGAGGAGCGGGGAGGGGGGAGGAAAGGATCCTGGCTCACCTCCAGTCAACAAAACTGATCAACGGCAATTCTTTCCGTCTGGGAGTAAGCGCGTGCGCATGTGTGACGCTAGTATCTCAGGATGATCAGGAAGATCAATGCGGACAACGAGCTGTAATGGGACTGGATAAACTAAGAAGGAAGGGGGCCTGCACACAAGTTCCAATCTCTGAGAATAGCAGATGGCTAAGGCGCTAGATTTCGGGAACGGAGCTGAGAACATTCTCTGCGCTCTGCCAAGTGAAACCCCAGGGCTCGTAGTTCGGGTCGGATCTCTCAGTGGCTCCCTCCTCATCTCACGCAAGCGACCCGAGGCAAGATTCCTCTCTATCTCCTATTTCCCCAGAAAAGAGATGAGATGGTAGATTGGATCCACGTGGCCCATCTCGTCAGGCCAAGATTAGGCAAAATGGCATGATTTTCGTGTGGTGCTCAGATGGGGCGGAAACGCTGGGACAGGCAGAGAGATTTGTGGTGCCGGCCCTCATCCCATATGTTTGCCATGTTGTATCCCTTTTGGGAATCGGGTAGTAGGGCCATAGAGGTACATTACGATTGTGCATGCTTACATTATACAAATTGCGATGGTGTTTGTCCGTATGTAGCCAGAGATAGGCAGCACTCAAGGAGGGTGAGAATCGGTCGTCGTGGCGAAAAAGGAAGGGCCACAGAAGATGTGAGGGAATGATTCTAGCCAACGTGAATTTTTTCGCGCTAGGCTGAACGGCATCGGTAATGCAAAAAGCCAAATTTGTTGCTGCCGAGGGAAGTGAGGAGAAGGGTAA